GGAGGATACATCATGGTTAATTTATTATTATAATTATTGTTTTTTGGTTCAGATAAATCTTCGTGAAAAAACTCTACGAACTTATGTTACAACCCAATATCTCGACGAAATTCCCAAACTTTGCTCTTCATTGAGCATCCCACTTGGGACATCTTGCGATTCCACATTTTCGCGATCAATGGAGTTAACGCATAGGAGAATTTCGACCATTATAACTTTTTCTTCTTGCAGATATGATAGATGGAAATTTCTATTTCTTCAAAAAACAGAAGTCGGTTTGCTTTCGCTTTAAAAGTGTCCAGCAATAGCTTTGAAGGCTCGATTAGGCCATCACCCAACTTTGCAGAAACCTTCTGAGGAAGTGTTGAGTGGACAACATAATTGCCAGGTTGTTTCTTTGGAAAAAAGTTTGAAAAACATTGGAAAAGGTCTTGAAAAATTGTGCGGCACCAATGAATTTTCAGAATTTTGGGTCGAAGGGTAAGACATTAGAGGGTCTTAGATGAACCAGACGTGTTTACATTTCACATTCAAAACATTGAATTTAAGATTCAACCTAACTCGACTAATTGAAAAATATATATTTGCAGGATCAAATTTAAGAGGAAAAATGATTAAAAGGCTCAAAAACCGATGACCATTGGAGAGTAGGTTTTTGTTGCCCGAGAACAGGGTTTTTATCGCAGTTCTTTGGACAATATTGCACAACGGCAATCGTGTTTATCGTAACCGCCCTGCTCGAATAACTTAACGGGAATCAATCGCATTAGAGGCTTATCTCTGAACGTATTCCCATGTAATCGACCTCAAAAAAACGCTATTCCATGGAGCTCTATTCAAACTTCGGTTTTTAAATAATAATGGAAAATTCGTACAATAAGCTAGATCTCCTTGTTGAAAGGTAAAGTTCTCGATGAATTAGGTCCCCGAAATCTTTCCTTAAGATGAACCTGTAGCTCCCAAGGATTGTTTACCGACATTGTCGAGTTGAAAAACGACCCAGACAGAGCATAATAAGGGATTCAAATACGGCTAACGACGTACACACCCAAAAGTGGCCGTGTTATGATGGCCTTGTTAAGACTGCACCATTCCCAGTGAAGTGTTAGGATGCCGACGAATAATACGCTTATGTCGGAGACACCCAAACAGTTCCAGGCATTAATGTCATAAATCTCCCTTTCTTACTTCTTTGAAGCTCTATATTTCTTAAAATTCACCGAGTTTCGTGTTTCCTTCGCCATTTTTGCCTTAATTAACACCATAAATTCCTTGAGTTCTTTTACTTGAGCTTGATACCTCAGAATTATCGTGAACTGTGCCTTTAGGCTCCTTAGGGAGTCTAGTACGAAGTCGATGTTTTGCCTATAACTCTGTGATGAACTTCTCATACTAGTGACAGCAATCACACGAAAAGCTAATTCAAATGAAATACAATAAATTTCTATCAATTTAAATGCAACATTTGCTTAGTTTTTTTTTTACAACAGCGTGCTCCTGTGTGTCAGTTGCCCGGGCATGACGGCTTAAATTGCACTGCCTCATGCGTCAGATAGTAAGAAAATCATTTGTTGATATCATTCATACAACCATTTGTTACATAATTTATGATAACCCAAAGTTTAAAATATTATGTGTTCAGCTCTTTAACGACAGCATTTACTATAGTTTTTAATATTTTCCCAAAGCCTTCCAAAAACCAAAATTTTTGGTTTCTAGTAGATAAAATAGGAAATGATCCCATCAAAAACTCTCCCTCACATCGTCCTTACGGTTTGAGCACGTTGAAGACCTTACTATTCATAAAGTTCTGGTAGAACAGCAATGATCTGTGCAGAGGGTTTCAGTAGATTTGATCCCCGTTTAGTCATTCTCCTGGTCAAATTTTGATGATGAAGCTCCTCATAATCCTCTCGATGGCAGCTTAGCGTTGACTAAGGGCAGAGGGATGAAAAAGCTGAGGAAACAATCTTTCATTCGCACTCTCACTTGTTCACCCTTTCAAAAGTTGAAGCCTTAATTCAAAGAATGGCGATTAATCATCTACAATATATCCCATGCTTCGTGGGAGCATTCGAAGAATTGGCAGGGGCTACACATTAGCTGGGATTGCGAAAGAAAAGATAAATATGAAATCGATTTGGTGGAAAATGAAAATAAAAGCATGGAGAAGAAGATATGTCGGAAAGAACATGAAAGAGACGATATAGGGATGAACAGCTGACTCATTCGAACAACAACACTAACTGATTAGATCAGTTCATCGTTGGCACGTCCCAAGAAATTATAGTTTTCATTCGAAGCGCTTCATGAACCACATGGAGGATAATGCGTTCTGTCATACATCACAGGATTGATTTTCAGTTTGGACTCTGCATGCCTTCGTGTTCATTGGGTTAGCAAGCTCCAATGAAAGAAACCAAACGAAATGAGGTTGTTTGAAAGCTAAAGAGATCACCATGGCGTCGTTTTAATGGCAAAAGTGTTTATGCAGACGAGAACATCCCTTCGATTCGATACTCACCTAGACCCACCATGCCTTCTATACTTCGGGGGTCGGTTAGTGGGAAGCAGACTCGCCTTGGAGGGGGCTTGAACGTCAGTTGACCACCCCAAACCTTTGCATAAGTCACATACGCATTCAAAACGCCACAAGAATTCTGATTGAGGTCGAATGCGAAGCGCATCTTAGAAACGAGCATGATCGTTTAGTTTGAGATCTTTAGCAGTAGTACTGAAAGATAGAGAATAACGAATCGTATTTTTATTCATACTGATGAATTCGTTGTTTTGTACAAACAAATAGATTTGATCAGAACATATCCACTAGAATAGCACCGGTGAAGAATACATGGTGTTGTTCCAGCTTTTCTTGAATCTTTTCGGCAAAACTCTTCCATTGACTTTCGAAAATAGGCTGCAACATATCATCTGGTATCATAATCATTAGGCTGCCACTTCAAGTGTCATTGGAATCTGGACTTGGACAGAACCTTCTAGTTTTATCCACCTACTCCCGTCGACCTATACTGCTTCTAATTCGATTGCAATCATACCCTGCGAGCCCACGGACAGCCTTGACTACTTCGTTTACACTGAGAATGTTAGGGAACCTATGCCCCACTGTGTTCGGGTTGACGAATGTGTTCTTTACCAGCCGTCTGAGAATTACCACCTCGTAGAACATTTAGACAAGGGCTCGTTGGAACCTTACCCATAAATGTCACCCTCCCCTTAAAGGCACTGTTCACGAAAAAGTGGTTTCGGAGACTTGCACATGGTTTGAATTCGAAGCCCCCTCTGATACCATTTGTGCGGAATGAGATCGGAAAACGGCTGGATTGGGCACAATAAGGGCAGGAACAGTGGGGGACGAGAGACCTCCGCCCCTCGCTAGGCTGACTACGAGTTCTAATTGTCCTTCACCACATTCGCACTGGAGCGAAGTTGGTGAAAAATCGATACGCTGATTGGCAAATTGCCAGGAAATTGGGTGTGTTGTCTGTATTGCAGACATTGCGTCGCCTTCGTGCATTCTCGCCCGAACACTCCCTAACCGCCGCTCTTTCAATGTGAAACTCGTCCAACTCCCCTTTCCGGCTCTTGTTTTTTGACCCTTTGTAATTCTTTTTGTTCATCGTTTTTTGCGCTTTTTCGTTGTTATCGCTTTATTCTAGAGTGGTTCTATCGATTCCCGTCAAAAAAGGGTACCCTAATTTTTTTGTGAACGGTGCCTCTAAGTACTCGCTGCATACAGGATTCACTAAAATTCAAGAAAAAAGCCTAAAAGTTTGTGGTGAATTGTCACGAAAGACGGACCCTCCCTAATTGTCGGAAGGTTTCCAAATATGCGAACTACACCACCTCCCATCACCCTTCCTGCAACGAATAGTTTGAATGAGAAGTACCTAGGTATGACCGCCTTCCTAACCTCGCTCCCGCCTGTCTTTCACAGTCTTGGAACTGATCGTATCAGAAACAAAGTCGAAGAGCAAATGGTCTCAAATGAATCTTAGTACATACCTGTGGTGTCTCAACTGTGACTGTCCCAATGATCTGGAATGCAACAGTCTGCACTGGCTCTTCATCTGGAATAGTTGTGGTTACGAGGTTCACCGTGGTTGTTGTGGCTTCGATTTCCGTTGTGGTTTTGTCAGTTGTTATTTCAACGGGTTCAGTTGTAATGGTTTGGGGATCAACACTGACAGTCGTCGTTACTGTACTTGTTACTGCTTCCGTTGTACCATCAAGGGTCGTAGATTCGGGGCTGGCTGTCGTCGGGGATTCGGTTGTGCCTGTTGTAACATCTACATTTTCAGTGGTAGTACCTTCAGTTGGTGGGTCTGTCTCCTGTCTCTTCACTCTGCTCCGCTTCGCTCTTGTAGTTGCTGCTATACATTTGTAGAGGATTGCACCTGAAGGGAGAGAATCATTCTCCTCTATTCTGTCGTATACATCAGTACTGACGTAAGTAAGGCTGCCAGAGAAGCTACCGAATGGACCAAAAGGAATTCATCAATTATTCCTGAGAGAAAGTAAGCTCTTCTCTACGATTCCAGAGTAACTTACCGTCATAGACGACATACGTATTGGGTTTTGTACAATGCTCTCCAGTTTCCAAGTTCAATTTAGGAGCTTTGTAATCGTAGCTGAGTGTAACCGTATCTGCCATAATTCCATTTTCAGCAAGTGTCGACAGTATCTTAACCAATTTCAATTTTTTTAAACATATGCTTGAATTGTCTGCATAGACTGATAGGATTCTCCATCTTTACTTGCAAGTACGGTAATTGTTTTTGAGGCTTCTAAGGATAAAAACCTTTTGACGTTGATTAATCCCGGTTCAGAGATAAGCCCCGCACTCGACTTGCAGTCAAAATCATAGCCTTTTTGAATGCTTACATGACCTATACAATGTCTGGCAATACCTATGCAGTTCATCATTCGTCGGAATCATACAAATATAAGCCCTAAAAAAGTGTCTTCATGACCATAAAGAAGATGCACGGTCCATATTCAGAGAAAAGGCCAACAAGAAACTTTTTCCGGCCATTCTAGTCTCATCGCGCTATCAAAGGTATTCCCATTTGGGACGGATCAAAGTTCGGATCCAGACGTAATTAATCGGAACAGAATTCTCCCAAAAATTACTAAGAAGGAGGACTTCTACGAGAAGAAGGATCGTGTTTTTGAACAGCAGAAACTCTTCGAAGCTTGCTGTAAGTTAGGCATGCAGAGAGTTGAGCTCTGTTTGATTGCTTCGGAAATTCGATTTAGCTTCACTTCTGGAACTCAAGTCCGGTTCCGAGTATAGAAACAAGGGTGACGGCAAACAAATTCGACTTACAAAGGGTTCAATCTTCAAAAAGAAACCTAAGCGTGAGCCATGAAGGCAAAAAATGGTCTCAGGTGGATGATCAACTCTTAGCCCTTCAAATCCATTGAAAAGATATTCTCCTACCGCCAACTGCAGATCCCTGTCGGCATTACTTTCTGCAGCTTGGGCGGATGTCATTTGTCCATGTGATGGTGAATCACTATAGGTGTACTTAGGTGGTGGAGCCAAGTTGAAATGCAGTAATGCTTTGTTTCCTAGTGTTCCTGAAAAGGATCCTCGAATAAACATAGTGAGAGGAAAACCCTCCAAAACGACAAACCTGTTGCCGGACCACAGGCCAGAACTACAGAAGCAGGAAATGCTACGTACAGAAAGAATGCCAAAATCATCTAAAAAAGCTTGGTCGTCGTAGTCGACGTCGTCGGGATCGGTCGCTTTTAAGCGTATTGCTTTTGAGTGCCATTGCTGAGAAGGTCGTAAATTCTGAGCTGCGCCTCGCCTCTGAAACACTTAGCAAACAGTCTTTACGCGCTTGTAGCTTTTTTCTACGATATTGAATTCGTTTCTAGGATTTTTACGATTTCCGCCTCGTTTATGGGCTTGGGCAAACCTCTAAGATGTTCCCTGAAAAAAAAATGTTGAATTCGCGACTCCTGAGCCGGCGTGGCTTTCTGCCAAGAGCTTACCATCAGGGAGGGCAGAACAGGAACTCACCCAAAGATACAACAGCAATTCCTAGAGGTTTACTGGCGCGACCGCATAGGCAGTAATTGTACATGATGGACCACTAGAGAACTACAAGCGATGGAAGTTCAACTCAAATAGGTTCAGGCTCAGAAATATTGCACGCACTTCACCTTCTTTTCATCTTTCTTCTATCCCCTCTTCGAGTTTCATAAACTTGATACGAGGATGGAAGTACTCGAACTCCTCAAGCCAACCTTAACATCCAAAAGCCTCCATAATTCACCCTCATAGTTAGGACACTGAGCAAGGTGAGAAATAACGCGCTCCAGCCGAATGACGTGACGCAGCCGCATGTTGCATTTTTTCGGCGGGAAAACTTACAGTAGGAATTTACGTTGTGTACATTACAGATCAAAATCCTTATTGCAACCCTGCAGATAGCGGGGTTCACAAGTAATCCTGTTAAGTTCAGTTATGACGGCTGCGTTTTCACTCCCTTATATTGCTTGTTGTACTGCTGGAGGGTTATTTCTTTTTTTTTCTCTTCTCTTCCAATCACTATCTCTTTTTTAAACAGCTCCTTTTATAATTTCTTGTAAAAAAACTGGTTAAAAGGCCACAGGTTGAAAATTGCTGAAGTAGGAGAAATTGCCGAAGTCCAATGATGGAATGGATTCCCTCTTAGGAACGGTGCTCGTGTTCTACAACTCCCAACAAGTGAATAGCCTGCATCATATTTGCCTTACATAATATTCTGAGCAATTTCTATTTTACTGTTTTGCTTTTTCGGATGTTCAAACCAAGAGAAACCTTTGTCTTTTTTCGTCTTCAAGTTTGCTTTAAAAGTTTGCTTTAATTTAGGTATGTCTACTATCGTACTTGATGCACGTACTATTGTTGAAGTTTTATCATGCTTGAAAGTGGGCATTAATGTTGAGGATATCATACATCCTTCAGTGAGTTTCGGTTTTTTTCTAGTACGACCACCAGTTCCTACTGCAGTGATTTTTTTCAGTTCTTGATTGCAAAAAAAAACAGCAGCAGTTTTATATCTTATGCAATTAGTTATATTTCAATTTAATGATTTTTATTTCAGCCGGACAGAGTGCAAAATATTTACCGTGCTTTCTGTATGGAAATTATGAATGTCCCGGAGAGATCATTGAATGAGCTACCATTTGAATGTCAATTCTCTCCTGATATGGCAGATATGAACCAGAAAAGCGGACCACTACTTCTTCTGTTCACTACACTGTAACGTTTCCTTCCCCACATTTTTCTTCAAACTATTTTATGCCTACATTTTTATACTTTTTTAACCATAATTGTTTTTATACATATATTTTATACCTATAGTGCTTAATTTCGTGTCGAAAATCGATTCAAGTTTTCGTACCAATAATGTTTATGAAGAAACAGTTGACTACAAGAGCATTATCTTCTCTTAGGAATATGTAATGGTAACAAAACTAGTGCCTTAAAGTGCTCCTTATTCGTGAAATTAACGAAAATTTATGTCATGTCGAATTTGCCACGTACCTGATTGACTGTTATGTCGGCACCCCTTCTTTTGAAAAGCCGCCCTTCAGAATAGATCCTACACCCCTCCCTGTCCCGCTTGTTATAACAAGTAGAACTGCTGGTAGTTTACCACTGGTGTCGGAGATCCTAAAATTGAGGTTTCTGCGTATGATCTAAACAAAGTTAACATGGCATATGGTTTGTAATACAGTTCCCCCTTTGCAGGCGATGTTTTTTCATGGACTTCGGTGATCCCAATATGAACTTCACTATGTGTGATCTCATTAATCCGCAGCCGAAAAGAACTCGGAAACTTTTTTCGATCATTGCAGATTACACTACCTTCTATCAGGTACGTTTTAAAGAGGTAACAAATGTTTATGTAATTATGGGAATTGGTCCTTTTTATTTATCAGCTCGGAGCTTCCCCAGTTTTGAAGATTTTAGAGAGCTACAAATGTTTCGATTTTAGAAAGCGTCACAAGTGTTTGAAAGCACAAGCAGTGAGTACGATAACGCCCGGAAAGTGATAGAGGAGGGAATGGAGCAGGTACGTTGTTACGTTCGGTGATCGACGTCATTTTTTTGCGGGCTGCTCTTATAAGTTTCGCTTTAAGGTTCGCCTAGCAGAAGAAAGAAAAAATGCCCTGCGAAGCGATCGAGATAGTCGAAAAAGGAGAGAGAATGGGGTGAATTTCTTTAGAAATAGCTTTCATACGTCATTATTTCCTAAGGTTTTTTCTTTAGCTTCTGGCCGAAAGCGGTAAGAAAAATGCCGTTCTCACCGAATTGATGAAAGAAGCTCAAGCGAGTGAATGTCGAAGGGATGAGATTGTAAAGTTGATCGAAGACGGCAAACAAGAAATTGTATGGTTTTAATTATTGCTTACCCTGTAATTTGCAGTGTTCAATTACTGTGTCAGGTCAAAGGGTTCGCGGAAATAGAGGCACTCAAAAGTGAGATTCAACATCATTCTAAAGCCATTGTGGAATCTCCCGAACGAGTTCGTAATGATGTCGACGAGCAGCGTGAGCAAATCAGGCGTCTTCAAGAACAATGTGATACCGAAAGGTTGGTGGTTAAAAGGCATGGTTCATGTTAAACGTACGTCTTTCAGACATTACCTCATAATCAGTGAATCCTTCCAAGGCCTTTTAAATTAGGGAAAAGGCTCATTAATGAATCTGGATAACCTTCAGCTATTGTGTTCGAAATTTTCTAGCGATGTTTCTAAACACATTTTAGGCAACGAATTGTGAATAACAACGCGAGTATGTCCGTGATCGAGCAAGCCTCGAAGCTGATTGACGAGCGTTTCAAAGAGCTCGAACGTCTTCGCAGTTTTCAGGTAGTTCTGTTGCCAACTATCAGTCAGCATGTGGTCTTGTAATGCTAGAATTGTCAATTTAAGAATCACCCATATTGTTCCAGGCTGAAGTAGAAGTTCTGGATCACGAATGCGCAAATGCCCAGGAACAGGTGGCCGAAGCAAACAAATATAAGATGCGAAAAGAGGAAGCATTAAACGTTAGTATTAATTTAATGGTTTATTTGCAAGATATCTCAGTGCTTCTTTTTGGATGGTATTGTAATAAAGTTGTCTCCTTGTCCAATTTAGATATAGCATTATACTTACAGAGACTGGTGAAATCAGGTCAAGAGGAAGAGTTAAGTCACAGGCGTGCTCTGGAAGCATACAGTTCAAGGCTTCAAGATTTGAAGCTGAGGAAAATGGAATTGACAAAGTAAGTGCCTGTGATGGAATTTGTGTCTGGCCACCTATCTATTATTCTTAATCCAGTAAGCAGTCTTATTCTTAGCTTCCTGAGCATTCCTATGATAGATGGCAATTGCCCTCAACCCGGTAGTTTCAGTACCATAAAGGACTTGCGAGAAAATGCTTCTGTGATTCGGGATGAGTCTGCACAACTACAAAAGGAAATGGTCCGATTGCGCAACGAAAAAACAGAAGAGACCAAACGCGCACGCGAATATTGTTTAGAACTCCGAAGGCGATTTGCCGAGCTCCTGGGGAAGGTCAGTTTCAAGTTTCATGATGGCATTTTTCTAGTGGGGCCCAACGGCTCTTCTGAGAGTCATCGCCGTTGATATTTTTGCTGGACCATAATGGTTTTGTGTAAATTCTATGCCGGATTTTTTGAGTAAAGTTGTGACATAGCGCCCTCTAGTAAAGAATTTTTTTGATTTTTTCATCTTTATTGCTGAGTATCTTCATTGAACTCTATATTTTTCCAGTACCGCAAAGCTCAGATGCTTTTCCGTGCACAAGCCGCATCATTCGCTGAAGCTGTGCAAAACGTCTCTATGGGCCTTGACGACTTAGAACCAGTGGTTCGAGACCTCAATTCATTGTCATTGTCAGAATAATAGTATAGTATGTTCGTTTTCATTTCATGTCAACGTGCTGTAATATATATATTCTTATTACTTGCTTTGTTATTTTTCATTATAGCTTTAATTCAATAGTTACTACCTTCTCATTTCTCAATATTGAAGCTCAGTTTTACTCTATGGGATCAATACAACTATCCTATCGAAATAAATTTGAGCTCCCGATTTTTTGTCTCCACGCAACAGATTTCCATACCTCCAACATGCCAATATCCTTCTACAAATTGCCCAGAACTCGTTGCTGTCATGATTTCTATTGATCCTTCCAAGATTGGATACTCTGCTATAATGGGTTTTCTGGTGAAGGGACACCCACAGAGGTAGTAGGAGGGATAACCCAGAGTAAGCGGGCCACAGCAGGACCACGGGACGTTCTATTATTCTTCCCTAAAGAGTCTGGTGTGATATGCTGTTTAGAGACATAGCGGGCAGCTTTTGCAGTGAAGTTTCATTCTTGTCAGGGGCTCCATGAAAAAATGTGGGCAGGACAAGATGGAATTCCACGACCATGAGTCTTAGTGTACTGGAGAGATGATATAAGCCATCTGACAGCCCTTCATGGCTCAGGTATTGTGCCAGCCAGCAATTCACAGTGTCCCTCTTTAAAGAGTTTTGCCTTCCCTTTATCTCAAACGGTTGCTCCCCGAACCCATTTTTGTTCCCTTGCATAGAGAGCATAAAGCAAAAAGCTCTTGAAATACAATATTTCCGTTGAGAAAAAAGTCATAGAATCCAAAAGTAAGGCTACTTTGTACAAATTTATTAATTTTNAAAAAAAAAAACCTCCATTCACGTTTGGGCGCCAGTGGCTGGGGAACTCTAGTGGGTCTGTCACCTGGCAAACCTGGTAGCTAGTCTTCAGGTGATTCTGTCAACCACGTATCTTGTTGGGGAGAAGAAGCATTAGTGATCCTTACTACATGCTTCACGTGGCCACGTTTCCTTATAAATGTTTGAGGACCATTTCGGGTGTGTTCGAGGAAACCTTGACCGGAAAATGATCGCTCTATCATTCTGAATCAATATTGGCAACTTAGGTTTTTAAAAACAACCGTTCGACAACCGGTTTATTCGTTTATATGTTTTCTGAAACGGTGAAGGAGGAAACTGAAAACTTCGTTCGATCAGCAATTCCATGGCTATCCGGCAGGCATTGAATCGGCTCGGTGTCTGCAGTAGTCAGTAGTCAAATGGCCACTTACTTCACGTCTACTGTAGTTCGCACTTTAATGTTGCGCCCTTGATCCGTAAATTGATGAAACGCCACTCTCGCCAACCGCCCGTCGTCCATCGCGTACGCCCGTCACTGTGCACCTTTCAACACAAAAACCCAACACTCGGACGCCAATTATGGCGTTTCGGCGATGATTTCGCCTTCCAAATCGTCCGGCAATCGTCACTTTTTCAATATGAACTGCCCAAGAGGTCAGTCAACCCTGAATCCAGAACGATTTGCTCAGCAAAAGAGCGGTCTACGTTACAAAAACTCCCTGGAAACTGGTTGCAGTAATTAGCAGCCAAATCAGTGGTGCATGAACGTGATCGGCGTCATTTCCTGCTCCCCCCCCCCCCCNTCATGTTCCACTGTCAGACAACGTGTAGGTGAACTTTCCATGCACTCCCACAGCCCTCTACCCTCCTTCAGAGCCTTCTTTTTCCTCCAGAGACGAGGGCCCTTTGGAAAGAAGTAGAAGGGCCTGTTCGCATATACTAGTAGGACCTTCTACTAGTTCTCCATTGATCCGGATATCTTAGTGTCATTTGTTTTATAATAATAATTGTTCGGGGTAGACGCCGGCTCGACCTCCTTTCCAAGGCCGACCGCCACCACCACCACCATCATCAACGACGACGGACGACGAGATCGATCGCGCAACCGTTCGCCACCCTTTTCGTTCGCGAAATTTCTTCCTTCCCTGTTCATAATGGGTTCCTTAAAAGACTCGTCCTACTTCCATCTATTATCTATCTACCCGTGTACATAAACTTCGCTCTTTTTCATCTAACGTGCTCTATTAAAGTTTCCAAAGCGAGCCATGAACTTTTAGAAAGCCCATTTTGCATATTTTAACGTACTCGAGAAGTTTTCTCGAATTAGTCTCTTCCTGCAGGTGAATCCGATCTTAAGACGCAGGTATACCTGCACTTTGTGGCTCAGACGGACTTTTTGCCCTACTTTCACCATACAGTATTCAAAAAGATCGATCCTCACTGCTACTTGTTTCTAAGCGGACCTTGCTCTCCGCTTGTCTGATCGTGTACCAAATTTGTAACAAACCACTGCAAAATAATTGTTCTAGAAACATTTGAGGGATGGAGGCGCTGCGTGCCACTTACAGCGGCTGTTTGGTTGAAATCTTATGAACGCCGCCCTTTTAACCATTCGGAATGCCCGCAAATGGCTAAATTCTTCAAAATATGCAGAATTTTGTTTGACGAACCAATCAAATCAATCGGTCCACATTTTTGCTTAATAATGGTAAAAAGCATAAGATGGCTTTGACTGTAGCACACCCTTCAAACCAGTATGTAGAGAGAAAAATTTGGGAGAATGAAATGAAAGAATTTTTTGGGTATAAGTCAGATTCGTTGCTCATCTTAAGGATTCGCAACGACGACTTTAATATCACTATTTATATATCTATGAAACTTTTGTTGCCTGGCCATTTTTCCGGCGGCTGTCAACTCCAACTTCGATACTGAGACCAGGTCAAGAGTAGCGACTAAGAAGTGTTTCAACAACTGAGTAATCTGCTCCGGTAGACAATCTTTCCGGCCGGGTTTACCAAAGCAAGGTCGCCACTGATTCCAACTTCGAAACTTGAGCGGTCCAGAATGACTTCAAACTGGAGTTGCTGACTTGGTTACAAAGAGGGAGGGCACTATGTGAACTTGAGAGGGAGAAAGGGATAACATAGAAAAGTTAGAAGTTAAATTTTAATATTGTAATAGCAAATTACACGCCTATTCCCCTTGAACCCCCAGCCACGAGTTCAATAAATTGTTTGAAGTTGTTATAGTGTGGGTATGATGTGGAATGGCAGGTTCCGAGACATTTCGTCCCCATGCCCGAACCGTACACGTGCTATACAGGGACGCAAGTTTGTAATTAAGATTGACGTATAGATAAGGAACTCAAGCCAATACGGTGAACTGCTCCGATGACCATTCGAGCGGTCTCTCATAGTAATAAAGAATTTTTGTTTTTGGACTTACCTCAATTGTTCCTCTCATACTTTGAAGCAGAAGATTGTTGCTGACCATACATCCGATCACCATACCGAACCTAAAGGCACCCTACGATTTTTTTCACAAAAATAATACGGTGGTTATTGTTGTATAAATATATATGTAGGTTGTGCTAGGCTTCGAATTACTCCGCCCGGTTGTGCTCGTCCAATGACCCTCTATCAGTGAGACGAAAATGCTCAGAGATCGACCCGATTCTCGACATCGTCAATCAAAAAACTGTTCCCTTCATGAAAACCGCTCAAGTTAGTGACCGATTAGCAGCTACAATCAGCATTCGAAGAAGGAATTTCGCTGAAAATCTTCTAAATGCATGTGGTGTTGTGCTGGAACCTTGGTGTTCAACTAATTCCCATTTGCTGAGAAAACCATCAGTCCGTTTTTGAGATGTGCCCCGCCCTCCACTTCCATTCAAAATCTCAATGCCGATTCAAATGCATATATGGTCAATAGAACCCTCGGACAGTCGTTGTATACATCAGTGGTTTCACCCTCCCAGGCGAGTTTGGCACCACCTAAACGACCCCAGAGGGATGGAAAGCTCGGTTGGCCTGGGCGAGTATCGATCCGGTAATCGGACCGTGGAGCATGCGTGGGTGTGATAGGGCGTTACTTGCCATAACACCAACCCCGCCCCATACAATTCGGAGTAATTGATTGGGCTTTGGTGCCGATTGTACCCATTTCGCTATGCGACCACAATTCGACTTGTATTCTTGATGGCGTTCGAATTACCTGACCATAACTACCCTATCCAGTAACCTGTAGAAGTCCGGACATATAAGTCAGCGCATTCATCCCGAAAGGCTCTTTCAGCCTGGGCAAGAATCTTCCTGTCCTCCTTGTGGAATCTTGTGGAATGCACTCTACAGGCCCAACTTTTCCGCTGATTTTTGCTCATGGAGGAGGTTGTCTATCCACTTGGCCAGTGGAACTGCCTTCAAGTACTCCCTCTTGGTACTTTTGGTATTTGATGGAGAAAATGTTCTCAATCATCCATCGTTTCTCTTCGAAGATGACGGGTTTGTTCGTCGTATTTACAAGGGAACTATTTAAAACTTCGATGGTTCACGGTCGTAGGCATTGGCTCGTTATGGTCCCATTTCTCGGTTGTAGAGCGACTAGTGATTGATGGTTCAGATGCTTGTTTGCCAGACTGATCATGTTGTAATGTGGCCATGCCTTACATTGCCCTATTGATTGCTATTTGGAGGGTACCTCCACCTAAGTCTTCTCTATCGTTACCTGGAGATGATGTGATTTTGAACGGGCAATTTTGGGAGAACAGACCCCAACATCAGTATATGGCAGCGCATACAAGGAAGTAAACAATCCAACAATAAACAGGTAAGAAATTATTTGTGAGTCTAAAAGGTGGTCCTAGAAGGAAACCGGTAAGTCATCAGAGTTCTCCTCCGGAGTGCCATCCTCATCCCTATCCATAGAGCCGTCTCTGGCTTCTAGATCAGTAGAGTAAAAGACGAGTGAGATGCGAAGTAAGCACATCGTCGCCAAACATCAATCACCCTAGGACCAAACAGCGAGTCAAAAAATTCGGCAAGCGAGCTTCCGAAGGGGATAAGGAAGAAATCAGGACCAAGTCTACCTGGAAGGCCCTTGAAGCTCTTTTTGTCCTCTCTTGATACTCGAGTACAACACAGTCTATGATGATTGAATCAATCCACCGTGTTCAATAAAAGTAATATCTTCAGCCTAAGCAAGTCCACTGGCTGCCTGCTCAGAATATTGGGCGTCGGGCGACAAAAAAACCTGCACCTATACAATATGGGCACTGATGGTGATCCCATTTACAACTAGGACTTACCAGATCATGAGAAAAAAAAGAGCCGAAAAGAGTCTCAAAAGATTTTTCCCCTTACTCCCTCTGGTCTATACAATGGCTTGCGGTGGACAACCAATATACGAATAAGTGTTATTATCCCCCGGTTTGTACCGGGTAATAATGAAACCAGGAAAGATGGAAGGCTCGGTTGGCCGGGGTGGGTATCAATGGAGGATTCGATCCTCGAACCATGCAGGTAATAGTGGAAAACTTGGCACTACACCACTTCCGCCCTTCAACCTAACATATTGAGTAATTATTAGATGGATCGATTGGTACTCGGGACCTGGTTACAGGAAAAGTAAGTTCAGCTGGATCTCTGAGTCTATATANACAACCAATATACGAATAAGTGTTATTATCCCCCGGTTTGTACCGGGTAATAATGAAACCAGGAAAGATGGAAGGCTCGGTTGGCCGGGGTGGGTATCAATGGATGGAGGATTCGATCCTCGAACCATGCAGTCAATAGTGGAAAACTTGGCACTACACCACTTCCGCCCTTCAACATACTATATTGAGTAATTATTAGATGGATCGATTGGTACTCGGGACCTGGTTACAGGAAAAGTAAGTTCAGCTGGATCTCTGAGTCTATATAACCGGAAATCAGGCCTGATCGGTATTCTACCCTATTGTGTTACCACCAGATAGTAGGCATGGCCGCTTCTCTAGTGTAGCAAATCACTATATTGTTCTTCATCACACAGACACACGCACACAAACTAGTTTTATTCGACCATATTCACCACACCACACACTGCACACTGCGCTGCACTGCGGCGTCGTCGTGATCGACGTCGACGTCTGCACGTTTTTCACGTATTCATCTTATCGCGCTGCATCGGAACTTACAAAAATTGTGGTTATCGCTTTTTATCAAGTCATTTGGGAGTTTGCCTTTTGGGAATCCCACTGCTTTGTTACTCTTCTGCTAGTAGTCCCCTATAAGTGGTAGCATGGGGGACCCTTACCTCGGTACTTCTCGAATACCAGTAATTTTGGAACTTTCTCTTTAAATTTGTAATCACAAACACTCTTAAGGCAGCATACGGGATACCGAGTGGAATGAAATCTTCAGGAAAAGGTTCTTTAGAAGTGAAAGTTCTCAGATGCTCTTTTTCGCTGACACGCGGTCAACACTGTCCTTATTTGGGGAAATTGCACTTTCACCTACTTTGATTCCATAGGGGGTGGTCAGTAACCCCCCCNCCCCTCCCCTCCCCTCCCATTAAACATGCTCCTTTTCTTCCGACGAACGTCATAGCAGAATGAACGGCAGATCGTTGGTATGGCTTGGATTCTTGCTTTCACTTGTAGCTTTACCGTCAGTGTTAGGGGCCGGATTATGAATTATGAAGAAGGGAAACCCCTCCGAAGACGCACTACAGCCTTGTACTCCTCCCTCTGGAAGAAGTTATTTTGAGAAGGCTTCTAATGTTATGAACTGGTACCTTTCCAGGTGATCATTATTAATTGTTATTTGAAGTGACTGATTTTATTGGATGTCAATCAGAACCTGAATTTCTCGGCCGACGAACACTTCCTATTCTTCAACATACCTATTTCAATCGTTCAATCATCTACTCCATCCCTTAACGTTCTGATCCGCAGCAAACGAGATTTTCTTAAGCGTATCTGATATCTGATGAACGTGTCTCTATTGTCGACAACCCTGCAAACAGGTCTAGCGGTGGAATTTTCTAGAAATAATGGGTTCGGAGCTGCAGGTGATAAAGCTTCTATTCGACCCCTTCAGATGAGTTTGGACGGTTAGGGATAGCCCATGAATCTGCATAGGGTTACAAGGTTTCGAGCAAGTTATCCAATACCCACACGTAACCCACGCGTTTCAAGCTTCTCACTCTTTCCCTTACCATACGCGCTCCTTTTCCCATCTGTTTTTTGCTTTAATTCTCCCTAACCACGAAATTCAGGTCCCACATAAACAATAAGGAAGAGATGTGCGGCTTGAAGGCACAATTCATGATAATTTTGTGGTACCCGTTTTTATTCGAAAAGCAAATGTATGGATTGGGAATAGTTTATCGGTAGTAACAAAAAAAGAGAATTCGCCGATTTCGAGAAAAATATGGCTCCTCAAAAGTAGGGAAAGTAGACGATGGACGACATTGCCATGACGGAAATGACATGGAAGGGGTATTCGGACGAGATTTCAGTTACTGCAATTGTGCAAAGAGCTGACTACATCAAGCCAGAATTGTACAGAACTGTCTTTCGCTATTGATCATGACCTGCTGCTACCTTTCTACTCTGTTGAATCTTCAGTCCACTATTCGGGCTCTTCCAACAGGAGAAGGAAGGTGGACGAAGCTGGTAGGACAGTGGAGATAATTTTGGAAGAGTTTTCCTTCTATGCCATTTAAAGATTCCTCCCTTGTGCCGGATAATTGGTTCTGTACGTTGCCTACTCCGAAAGCCGTTCGATCGGTCAAAAAGCAAAAACGTTAGCCTGGACGGAAGTTGAATGGAACCGAGCCTGGCCAATGGAAAAACTTTATCTATTCCTTCACTCATGGCGATTGTTGCCGTAATTGGACACAAGGTCATTGGCATAACTACTCCCTCTTGATGGGCATTCATCAAACAAATCGGGAGCACATTTACTGTCATTGGCGTGCTTGCACAACAAAAACTGGTTGAATCGATGATGAATCGTTCCTTTTGACGAGTATATATAGTACTCGTTGCTGAAGTTCTTTCGAAAAGAGGGACCCAATGCCCAGTAATGGATCTCTTTGTCCCTCTAAGATCCCTATTCAATTGCTCACCTGAATGGATTGCGATGGCCTTCATGAGATCATTATCGGATCCAAAAGAGGCCTCTCCCCGAATTTGGTTCGGTCCTTATGAGAATGGCAACGAGGTATGAATGCATTCAGAAATTTTCGCGACCGACCGCGTCCTTGGGAATGAAATGGATCTGATCGGTCGTCGCCAACGTATTCATTCAACTCACAGGCAGGTACTTCAGGCAGGCAGGTTGTTCGCATCTTCTTGTCCGTAACCTTCACCGTATCCAAGTGGTTTTTAGTTTCACAATTGCCTTGCATTACAGTTTTATTTGATTTCCTTCCTTCGTCGCGTCGTTCATGTAAATGACCTTCTGCTGCCTGCCGGTTCCGCTCTGAACATCAATTCTTCACCAAAAGTGAATCCTAGATGCAAACACATATCGAGCAAAAAAAGGAGCACGTTTAAAAATGACTAGGGTTTTTTCGGGAATTTTTCTTCGTCGACCTGTTCGTCAACTTCATTCGGTCGGTATCTAGTCGTTCTACCGCTTTCTCCCTACCCTTTCTCCCTTTCAGACTGCTACCGAGGACTTTTATTCTCAGTCATTTGTATCCCAAATGGGAATTTCTTTCAGAACTACCCTACCCTTCAGAGTTACTGGCTCTTCGTACTTCAGCAGGAGAGCGGCAGCCGATCTTTCGAGAAAGAGAGGTTCGCTATAGCAAAGGAGTAAAATGGGTCGCACTGGGTAATCATTCAGTTAGTCCGAAAATATGGTTAAAAAATATAAATATGCTAAATTTTTTGGGGTCGTTGTTTAGGAATACTGATTTTTCCGTTCCTGATGGAGAAATAACCTCCTTCCCATAGACCACTTGCACAGAAAATGATCGCGAAGACCGGCAAATTCTGTCAGACCTAGGCCACCAACAACTTGTAGGACCCTTTCGACGAATCTTCGGTTTATAAGCTACCTTTCCCAATCACAACCAGATCAGCAGGCATCTTGCTAATGTCACGATTGATATCACTCAAAATGGCCGGCAAAAACATCCGTCAAGTCATTATTTATCGGTTAAAAACTTTTAAGGTGTTCTTACACCATGTTTTTGTAACACAGGTTCCACCCTGAACTATGATTCCGAGGTTTCTCTGTGGTACGGTAGACTTGCAGCTTGTAGAACTGTAGCTGTAGAATTAGCAGATTTTCTAGGATTGTGTATGTGGTTATTGAGAGCAAAGTTGTTGATACGATAACTTTAGCGTTCACTGAACTAAATAGCCTGTGAAATCCGTAGAGTCCATTTCGTGTCGTTTATACTTCTAGCGCTTCACATTGTTCCATCTTAGAGGCACTTTTTTCAGTTTGTCTGAAAAGTTCAGTGTTTGATGCAGATTTCAGTACCCTTTTCCTTTAATCCTTTGCTATCAAGCATAAGTGTATTCATGGCGCGAAAAACTCGGGCGTCAGTCATCTCCTTTCTTTGGGATGCGTCCCTGCCTTTAACCTCTACTCAAAATTGTAGTGGCTTTTTGATTGCGTATGAGGCCGTTGTAATGAATGGCCAGCCGTTGTACAAGCCCTCCCCACAGGGGTGCTTTATCCCCCTAGATGAGTGTGGTATCATTCAGCTGAAACCGAAGTGATGGAAGGCTTGGTTCACCGGGCGAGTATCGATCGGGACTCGATCCTCGGCCTATGCGTGTATAACAACGCTCCACTTGTCGCTACATCCCCATTTCACGACGTACTCCAAAATACATCGCTTTTTCGTCAATTCCGTTTCTCCTTTCACTTTTTCCGTTCCACCGTATTTCGTATTGCTCGCGTTCTTCTATTCCGCTAACTGAAGAGGATGCCATTTCCTGATGCTCCGATTTTGTTGTGACTCATTTCGTTCAACGACTTCATTTCAGATGTCTCCATAGACATTCTCTACCCGGCTTTTTGCTGGGAAATCCGTAGATAGCCCATAGTTCTTGATTCTGATCGATCAGTATCATTCAATTGCTCATGATGTCACTGTATAAAAGTAGACGGAAATTACGCAAAGCCCTCCAGTATCTACTCATAGTGCTTGGATTTCTTCTGATATGGTGCACGTTGACTATCGTCATACTATACATACAAGATGCGGTATGATTACCTCTTTTTTGTTTTTTTTTTCTAATTTTCTTGATAATGATATGTTTTCCCTTTTTTTTCTTCATGACACTTTGGTCCGGACGAGACTATGGGGTGAGGGACGGATACTGTATCCGCCACCACTGTTTTTTNATCAAAGATCATGTATCGACTCAGTGGAGTAGGCTTTTGATGATGCTGTGGCCCTGACTCCCATGCTTTTCGATTGTTTCACGAACTTGTTAGATAATGAACCCTTCCGCTTATGGTACCTCTTGGTCTACTGACCCGAGGTCCCCAAAGTAAATTCGTTTGTTTCGTGATAAATTTCAGCGACCCTCTGTACTGTTGCTTTGAACCACAGGACAAGATCTGGTGGAAAGGCCTTTCCTCACAGGAGAAAATCTAACTCACAAGAAAGGTGGCAGTATTATTCCACTCAAGCTCCTTCATGAGACCTTCCTGCTTCTTTTTCTAACTTTCCTCTCCGTGACCTACTTTGATCGGGACAAAACTATCCAGTGAGACGTGTTTTCCCTTTCAGTCTTAGTCTTTATCTACAGAGTTCCTCCTTTCTTTCCTTCAGTCTTGGACTGTTGACAAAGAGCCACCGCCCAAGAGTTCCTACCTTTGTATTGTATGACACACCGTTGGGCGTATTTGGATAGATGAATAAATAAACATCAATCTTCTAAAATGATGTTTTATCATTTAATTTTATCATATTTTATCATTATTATTTTAGGAGAAATGATGTATTACTTTTTGATAGATGATATCCGGTGAAATGTTAAGTTGTACAGTAGCTGGTCATGACTTGTTTTTAGTTTACGACTTCAACAAAGCCAGAGAGGCCTTTGCGTGGGGGCAGAGGGGTGCAGGTCGTCGTTGGTCATTACAATGGTAATCTACCACAGGAGAAGCTGAGGAACCTTACAGATGGTGAGGCCAATACAGTATCATAACTCTACAGTAAGTAAGGAGTAAGTAGTAAAACTACTCGTCTATATTTGAGTCCGACAAAATTTTGAAAATAACTTGGAAACCAAATATTTTCCCAAGTACTGGTATTTTACTGACATAGTAATTATGACAGGATAGAAAGTGAATGGAGAGCAGGAGAACGACTGAGGCTAAAGTTCTTTTCAGAAGAAATCAACGCAAATAATTTCAATCCAATTGGTTGGGGTGAAGGAGGAGAGCCTGTTCGATTGTCAAAGGAGGATGAACGTCTATCGGATGAAACATTCGGAATCAATCAGGTAACACCAATTATTCCTACATTTCCTCCTTTACTGGAACTTTCTACAAAGATCCTGAGAATACCAATTGTCCTCGAAAAAATATTCTGTCAAGCTCTGATCCCACAAAGATTCAGAACTTGAAAGCCTTGACTCATAGCTGCTTCCTATGTGTAACCATTGCAAAAAGACTGACATTCTGTGCATGAGTGCTTTTCATTTTAGTTCAGCCTCTTTGTGAGTGACCGTATTGCCTTGAATAGATCACTGGACGATTACCGGAAGCCCTCGTGCCGAGTCAAAAAGTATAGAGGTACGCTAGACGCTGTCTCCAGTTTCTTGAGAACCTACTGAAGAACTCTACTTAGACGTCTCCGAGTTGCCATCCACTTCCGTGATTATCGTCTATCATAACGAAGCCTTCTCGACGCTACTTCGTACTACTCAAAGTGTCGTCAACCGATCACCACGAGCACTCCTCAAAGAAATCATTCTCGTTGACGATTTTTCGAATAGAAGTCAGTTCAGCACTTTACAGAATGGTACAGGCACTCTTTCAACACGGTATTTATTTCAGCTTTCCTCAAATATCCAACATTAGACGAAGCAGTACGGGATTATCCTGTACCCGTGAAAATTCTACGAACGAAACAACGAGTAGGACTGATCAGAGCAAGGCTAATGGGAGCACAGGTAATCCACCTTCCTTCCTTTTTGGCAGTTCTGATGGAGCCCATTCAGGAGGCGATAGGCGATGTGCTTACATTTCTCGATTCTCACTGTGAATGCACCGAAGGATGGTTGGAGCCATTGCTCGACCGTATCAAGGATAATCGGTACGTCCATCATGTATGCGCATTGTAAAGGAAATCAATAGCAGAATGGAATGGTGGTGACCAAAATTGGTAGTTTTGATGCCACTCAGCCCTCACATTTCCATTTTTGAAACCCTTTCTCTTCAATTTTTACAAAAAATTCCATTGGTCGAACTGTTATATATAGGTATAGCTTCTTCACTCTTTCCCACCTTCATTCGCACGATACCCAGTGTGATAGGCCCCTTTTTCAGAGTTGGATGAGTATGAAGTGAATCACTCAGTTCACGATAATAAGAGTTCCTGAGAGTTCCAAATAGGACGAAACTGTGCTTTCCACGCATGCTATATGGGGAGTTGTTGGGTCCAAGAACGGTCCAGATCGGGCGCAAATTGAGCTCAAAGAACGTCCTTGCTAATATTCATAAGCGAAGGTGGGCGTGTTTTGCCGGCGTTGTAGACGCTGCACCGCTCACAATGGAGCACACATGTTGAAAATTGAAACAACTAGTGGTACCCATAGCAACAATTCAAGACAGTTCTTAGTATTTTTGGCTTGATGTAACCAGCTACTCATTACGCGATTGTACACGACTAGAGTCTCTTCCTAATATCCCTTCCATACTACATTTGTCGCGGTAATCTCGTACAACTCCTATTTTCACTATTTTTCATAGGCCTTATATTTAGCTAAACCTGCTGATTTTCTCACTCTTTACCACCGATGCACTATCAGCCACCTTTCTAAGCCAAAAAGGATAACTCAGAATTGTCATAAACGGTGCCTTGAACGGAGACTAGAGGATGTACTGGCAACAGACTGAGTAACTCTGCGTTGCCCTCAGTTGGTAGCCTTCCAAAGTTCTTGACGTCTTTCCTTCGGCAACAGTAAATAGTGCTTCATTGCTTTGGGATTCCCGACTATTTTTTCTTTTGACGAACTGGTAACCAGTAAGTATCAGTCATAGAAATACTGATGTCTTTGGAAAACAATCACGCAGAACAAACTCGAACAGCTCCTCCGAAGAAGGTTCTTCCGGGAACGCTACCTTACGGCCTTTCTTCAAGGAACTTTCTGTTCGAACTGAACTATATCTGAATTTTTTTTTCAGAAAAGCAGTCGTTTGCCCAGTCATCGATGTCATCAACGACCGAACTTTTCAATATCAAAAAGGCCTTGATGTATTTCGTGGTGGTTTCAACTGGAACCTTCAATTCAGGTACTCGTACTACTGTCAAAAGCTTCAACTCTGTTCCAAATCTAGATTTTATTGTTTCAGATGGTACGCTATTCCATCCGATATGGTAAAGAAACGACTGGCCAACCCAACTGCCCCGATACCGTACGTTTAGTTTGGGTAACTATACAGAGAAGTTAGTCGAAGTAAAACTGATTTTCCAGATCACCAACAATGGCTGGTGGCCTGTTCAGTATCGATCGCCATTACTTCGAAGAACTAGGCACTTACGATCATGGAATGGATATATGGGGTGGAGAGAACATCGAAATTTCTTTCCGAGTACGTAAACTTTGAGTTTTTCTTTCTCTTTGTTCTCCTCTTCGGCGTTACCATTCCCTTTGGGTTCAGAACGAGTTCTGACAGCAAATGGAACTATTTTGATTGAAATGTCTACCTTTCAGATTTGGCAGTGCGGAGGACGAGTGGAAATTCTTCCTTGCTCTCATGTTGGGCACATTTTCCGTCATAGTTCACCTCATGACATTCCAGGAAGCTCTTCGGGAAAAGTAAGGTGCTCAGTTGTTTCTATGAAATCCTCCCGTACGGGTTGCCTTGCAGGTCCTGGACGGTAATATGGTCCGGGTGGCGGAAGTCTGGATGGACGAGTGGAAGTTTCTTTTTTACAAATTGGCACCCCGTAAGGTTTAAGGTTTCGAAAATTTAGGATAGTTCATTCCATTTGGGCCCGAATCGTTTCAGAGACAGGGAAACTGAGAACTTCTGTGGACCTGAGTGAACGTCTCGAACTTCGACGTCGTTTGGGATGTAAAAGTTTTCGGTGGTATCTTGAAAACGTGTTCATCGATCACCATTTACCCATGACGGGCGACTTTTTTGGCCGGGTGAGTCGACCTTTAGCGTTTTCGGTAATCAATATTCATCTTTGACACGAGGAGTGCGCCATGCAGCACTCAGAGTGCTTTTTCGCCGAGAGAGCACTGGTGGACTTCCTTCTTTACAGAATCAAGCCTCTGTAGTTACTGTAAGCTGCTTCAGATACAATTTCCGGCTGACACTTCCAATGGAACATGCCTAGCATGGGCCTTAGCCATGTCTGGTATCAAAAAAGCTACTCAGGCATCTTGTACGGACAACATTGACAGAGCTCAGGTGAATAGTTTGAGACTGACGTTCTCATTTGTGATGATTTCAGATTTCCTTAGTCTCCTATCAATTGTGCATGGTTAATCGGCCAGGAGAGCCAGGAACTAAGAAACACCGGCTGATTATGGCTCCCTGTACGTTGGGGTTCGATCATTGGCAGGTTTGTTGAAGGATTTCCACGAAAAAAATTGTTTAAGCGAGTTCCAACGTACGGGGTGCGATATATCAGTCCTAATGGGCCCAGTTTTGCCCCTATAGGCCCAGTTCTGCATTCGACAGCTTTTACACCAAGTTGACAAATGAAGTAAATCCTTTAAACTCTGCCCTAATGTTAAAACTCTTTGATAGTTCCTTGTTGGGAAGTTAGACAACTACAAGGGTGTCTGGGAGTGCCTGGATGGGGCCAAAAAAGACGTACTGATGGGTCCTATTGAGAACAGCTTTCCCGAAGCACTTCATTTTCAGTTTTGGATCTACACAAAGAATGGACATCTGAAATCTGATGAACACATGTGCCTCACAGCTAATCAGGTGGTCCACACCAATGGTGAATGGATGGTTCAGTTAAAGGAATGTGCTGGTTACGACACGGAACTCTGGGAATACAACAGAAAGGTTTGTATGGAACAAACTTTACTCTTTATGTGATTGGAAATCGAAATTTTTTGGCAACAAATGCTCTTCAGGGTTATGCTCAGTTCGTTTCATTCCCAAACCTTCCTGTCATCAGAAATATCCGAAATTTGGATCTTTTTAGAGGCACACATTCAAACATCGTAAAAGTGGTTTGTGCTTAACTCAGCGAGATCCCGACATGGAAAAGGTGGACAATCTATCACCACCAACCCTTACATCATGTGGTCGTGGTCATGAACAACAGGTGAGAGGGCTTCATAGACGTTCGATTGCCTTAAAGGCTCAATACACAAGTAAAAATATTGTCTAGAAGGTACTAGGAGATCTAAAAAAAATCTAAATAAGTAGGAGGATGTAGGACAGGAACCCATGATGAAGAAGGATTTTGGGGATCCTTAAACAAGGTTGGGCTATTTTGAGGGAATAGCCTTGGAAGGCAGATTTTTTGGAAATTATTAATGGATATGGAATAGACAAATAAATAAGTAAAGCTTATCAAAAACTCACGTGACGGTTTAATCATGAACATCACAAAATCAATGTTGATTCAGCAGTTCGACTAGATGTAGGATATCGAAAAGCTGTACGCATAGTAACGATGAAATAGGAAGTAGGAACTCCTTGGAGCATGAATAAGTCAAAACTGAAATGAAACAATTATAATGAAGTATTAATTGAATTCAAAGAAAACAGTTGAGTACTGAACTAAGCGACATGAAGACATGGAATGGGTAGAGCGGGCTCACTTGTGATTAACGATCGATGAACGCCCTGACGTCTAGTGGTCATTGACGGGATAACCCATGGTGGTCATACTTACATTCAGATGAAAAATGGTTTTGCTCAGTACGATCTCTCTCTGGATTTACTTCCTAAATTGTTCCTTCCTCAATCGACAAATGAATTACATCTATGGGTGCTCATAGAATACCAAAATCCTCCGGTGAAACTAGTCAAAAAACCTTTGCAGGAGCGATTCATTAAGGAAGTTTGAAGGCAGAGCTCACGATAATTTAAGGATATCCAGTTAGAGACGAATAATCGGAGTGACAATCTGGATAAGTGCAAAAGTGACGAGAAAACGCGAAAATCGGTATCTTAGGGAAAATATAAGACGCTGAAAAAGTAGTCGAATTAGGGATTGGACGAGAATCTGTTGCAGTTACATGGAAGGGGCATTCGGACGAGCTGTCCAAGAGTAGGTGCCATTGCTTACAGCTGACCACGGTAAGATGCCTGCGTGCAGCCTGTAGGTCCTGGGGCGACTGGTGCAACCTCTACAGCCTCTGCAATGCCAGAATCGTCCCCTTCTGATGTGCATGCCAGTTAAACCGGTTCTGGACCCTTATTGCGCCCTATTTAGACCGCTTCTCGGCGCAGCAGCCTCTTACGTGCTGTCTTTGGGGGTCACAGGTATCTAGGGAGGAATTGGGAACTATTTTTATCGTAACTGTACCTTCAAGTCCTCTTTTCCAACTTGAACACTATATACAGTTTCAAAGCATTGTATAAAAGGAGTCCCTTTGACTATTATCTCCATACGGTCCCGCTTTTTCAACCGTTGGACGGACCTATTGAGCCCTTTGCAGCGCACGTGCTCTTCTGCATGGTCCCACTGTGACTATTCTCTTCCAAAAATTATATATTCGTTGATGCAACAATTTTTAAAACCATTTATCATTATCACATCTTATCATTTATCTTAAAACTTTGCTGATATTGCTATTTAACAGATGTGGTCGTTGAATTCGGTGGATTGGCGGCCTGAGATCCAGTGAGAAGCCAGTCTCACATGTTACCAACTTCTTGTTGCATTTTCGCATTTTCTTTTACTTTTTTTTATATTATTTATGATTATCAGCGTTGTTTTAGTGGTACTTCTTGATACATATAGTGCCTGTGCCTTTAATCAAATGCTAGTACGTAACGATTCTTTATCAACAGCATTAATTCATTGCCATTAAATGTGACTTTAATATTCTAGCCATGGCTTGCCTTATTTCTCGTGTGGGTTTAACGTATCGGTGGTGACGCAATGTGATGATCATTTATTTGTTTTTTTTCTATTTTATTTCCTCATTTTTCTTGACTTCTTAGAGGTGACTTTTTGAGAAACAACCTCTCCACGTTCCATAATTGATATAGTGAATCTTTCTGGAATTCCTTGCCAATTTGCCTTGATGAATCGTGCCTTTGAGGGCTCAAATCGACTTTTGAAATTCCGCATTTTCGCACAAGTTCCAATTTTTTTAAACGTTTAACCTAAGTTTTTTCTCGTTCACAGTGCGTTGTGAATTTCCCAAAGTGGTTTTGAATCCTTCAGTCACTCAGCCATAACAAGTAACGTCATTTACTTAGACGATTTTATTTCTAACACTATGATAAGGTTGCCTTATTCTTTTTGATCATTGCCTTTTTTCTTGAAAATGTTGACAGATCCTGTTGTAACCTGCTCTAGATCTGCCATTTCACATCTTTAATACCTACTGTGATTATTCCTATTCAAGAATTATTTTTTTATTTGATTCATACTTTTTTCAACACAAACATAGCATTCTCCCATGTTAGTAGAAGATGTAGCAGCAGGCTGCATAAAGAAACGCTTTATTCTGACGCCAACGTTGACATTTTTAATACTTGTTGCAATAAACTTTTGCTTTTTTGTTGACTTTAGAAGGATTTAATCACGAAGTGAACAGCCTCAGAAAAAGTGAGGACTTTTTACAGGGAAATTGAATGATATGCTAGGTTGATGTGAACTTAGTGAACTCTACTCGAAGCGCAGGTGCACTCGTTAGCGCAGCGGCTGTGCCCGCCAGCGCCGCTATAGAAGCGGCGAGATCGGAATCGCAAGTCATCCAAATGATGAAACTCAATAGCGTGAGCTGGCAGCTGAGATCGCTAAATGTCATAGTTACACTGATGGGTGTCGATAGTTCTTTACAGTCGGATATTTGAAAAATTCCTTCCCTAGGATGTGGTATTCAAAGATGAGGATCGATTAGAAGATCTCTTACCAATTAGAAGATTAGGAAAAATAAGCAAGAAGAAAAATGAAACAAACGATTTCCAGCAAGGCTTCATTAGAGAGCTTGTACATACTCAGTACTTTCTTTGGCTTTTACTGTAGCTGAAATGGGAAGGAGAGCGGGGTCCTCATCAGAATTTCCCTTTTTTACTAATAAGTAGGCTTCCGAATGATTGTCGAAAAAGTTTTTCGAAAAAAAAGTCAGCTAAAAAAATCGCCTCTCCCGAGGTATTACATATCATAAGTTTGTTTTATGTACTTTATTATTATTTATACATTAGAAAAGTTTTTTTAAAAGCCTTCCAGTCCAGTTTATGCCGAATCCAATAAGCTCAACTAATCTCGGACAAAAAGGACAACAACGTGGGTTGAAAACTGATGCAATTTTCATAAGGGAAATGATTTTTCGAATTTTTCGAATCACAGTCACAAGAAAATGATCTGTAGGAGGTAACAATGACCAACTGCGTCTCGCAGCAGCACCTCTATATGAAAATATGGTGTTTATCTTCAAATTCTGCTATTCCAACGTAGTTCGAAGTTCACAACGCTTGATTTTTCCACTGCTCGTTTTCGGCATCATCTCCACAACCTCAATTCCGCCACGTAGCTGTTTGTAAGGTGCTAGCCTAGCTAGAAACAGTCAGATAGAATTAAATACTAATAATAAGTACTAATATAATAATGCTAATACCACTACTACTAATAACAATAATAATAATAAATACTGACATAAAACCTCTTTGAAAAAATCAACCACAGACCTTTGACTAGTGAAATGATACGGTTTTTTGCAACGTCCTGATTCACACCTTCCTCGAGCACCACAAATGCCTTGGGTACCTGGCCACATTTTGGGTGTTCGGTACCGATCACTGCCACTTCTCGAACCCAAGGATCCGTTAGAATAACGTCCTCCTTGAAAATCAATACTCCTTCTTGAACGCTTAAGTATGATTTCACGAAAAGAGTATACGAAATTTTCAAGGCACAACTCAGGACAAAAACTGTTTCCAAGATATCCCCCTAGAAAGAAACTGTGGACTACTGAATGTCATACGTGGGAGATCGAAAAACGCCGTACGTCGGGCTTGGTAAGGGCTCAAAGAAGGAATCGCTGCATGCCAAACCCAGGAGTGGCCGTGTTTCGCATTTTCCAAAGAGACCTCACTAGAGGCGGCCGTACAATGAAAAATACATGTTCATTATTCAAACATTTAGTCTTGATCCGTAACGACAATGGAAAGAATATGCGGCATTTTTTGCTCATTGTAGCCAGCTCTACGCAATTGCACACTACTGACAGCTCGTACAAATGTTCCTTCCATGCCACTATTGCCGACATAACTCGTACTCGTACTTCTCGTACAACCCCCTTCTTGTCCCTTCAAGAACTTTTTACTTGAAGTCTTTCGATTCCCTGCTTTCTTCGAAACCTCCGCAATACTTTGCACCACAACTTACATTATTTCATTGAAACCAGTTTCTCCAACTATCGTGAATTGTACCTTTAACATAGCAAAAAATTTAATCATAAGAGAACTGGTTCTAGGAAATTCCTAACCAATTCAGAAGGTGAAACTTGCATTCCGTTGACTTTTATGAGATCCTTTACTCGATCGACAACATAGTAGTAACCATCCTCATCGTAATATAGTATGTCTCCTAAAAAAGGGCACAGAAGTTGACAAGAAGCCCTTAAAGTATAAATGCCCACATTTATAATCACAAAGCTGTCAGAGAAAGAAAACGTTGAAGGAACGAAATAAAGGCCGTATTTTGAACTTTTTCTGATTAGTAGTAGTAGGAGTCATGGGTAATTCTAAAGCTTGGTAGGAGCTGAACTATCTTCAGCACCACCCATTTCTCTTGAACGGGAAGAAGCTACCCATTCCGTTACACTCCTTTCACCTCGGCCGTTCTTTCGGATGAGCCCGTCTGCATGGCTCCTTTGTTAGGGGTATTATTGAGATTCTACGAAGAGATACGACAACGCAAGGTACTCAAATGGCTCACCAGTTTTGAGCCATCCATGTAGTATCCACTCATTACCGTTGGCGATTTCAGAAACAGCTCACCTGGACAATTAGGGCAGTGAATGACGTCTCCACTTTCGTCTCTCAACTGTATTGGGAAGATTAGTGTATCAGACAGTCGCTCAACAGTCAGTCATAGCGATCTCCTCTACTCAACTCACCTCAGCTTCGAATCCTGGCAACAACTTGCCGCAGCTACCAAGATGCTTCTCATCAATGAGACCAAGCGGGGTGATGTGACTCAAAACCACGATTTCTGTCATACCGTATCCTAAATTTCGAAGCGGCAACTTGGGCAATTGAAAGGTATGCCCATCTACCAGACGTAAACAACAATATCAGAAATAAAAACATTCGGAGACCATTTTTTCAAAGAGATGTTTGATACTTCAGGTTTCGTGTCTCATGGCAATCCATTATGAAGCTGACGCACCTTGAATCAAGTTCTGGACTGAAGGGAATTTCTCAAGAAAGCAGCTACAGAGTTCTTTTCCCAACGGGCTCGATCCACAAAGGACTGTGCGAACGGAAGACAAATCATAGCCGTCAGTCTTCATACGACACAAAAATGACAGAATTGATGGCACGACGTTAAGAGTATCTACCTAAACATTTTCAAATTATGTTTTGCTATGCACAACATTCTTTCTTTTACCCATCGCTTTCGCATTTTTTCTGAGAATTCCAATCCCTTTCAAGTGATTTATGGGACACTTAAATAGCACAAGCAGACTCATTCACATGGCTAAAGCAAGCTTTTCCGTAATTAGCGCTGATAAGATTGTGTTTTATGTTACATCAGTTTTTTTAGTTTTACAAATCTAGAGGCAAAATAGTCCACCTGATGATTAGAACGCTGCAGCCGCACTGCTACGTGGCCTTGTGGCCTAATGGATAAGGCGTCGGACTTCGGATCCGAAGATTGCAGGTTCGAGTCCTGCCAGGGTCGAAATTTTTTGCTCATTTGCTAACGTCACTCACTTCCATTTAATACCCATACTTGGCATACCAATACCGATAATTCAAATTATTCAACATTTACAATTAATTATGGCTGCGGCTAAGGCCCTCGGATTACATTGATATGAAAGAATACCTTGTATTTATGAATAATTTCCAGCATAGAAATCGGATGAAAAGATTCCAGAATGATCGAATGGCATCCTTCAAGAAGACAGTAAAGTAGTGCCCAGAATCCTGAAGCATGATAGAACGGAAGCAAAGCGATCGTCTTACGCTGACTCTCAACAACAAGTTGATCGAATAAGGCCCTAAAGGAATCTGTTGGAGGAAAATCGAGTCAACTCTCTGATAAGAATGGTCTCACATCTTCAGGATGGCAGTAGCTGCACTGTAGTTACGATGTGTCAACAACACACAGCGAGGCTTCCCTCCAGTACCACTCGAAAATGGCATTAGCAGTGTGTCATCAGGTTCATGGCGTATGCCCTCGAATAAGTTGGGAAGATTACAATCCCACAGTGGCAAATTGCGAGGCAACAAAACAGCATCAGAGAATTGATGATATTTTTCTTCTGAACAGAACACGAATATCTGAAACACATGATTAATACCCTATGGCGTTGGAGGTCTCACTGTGACATCTGTCTCCCATACACATGGAAGTTTTCTCGAAAAGATTAAAACCGGACAGCATGTGAGGAGCATCGCTACTGATTTGGGCGAATTGTGGTGAATACAACCTCAGTGGACCAGTCTGATCTCTCGATTCCTCGCTTTTGTTCAAAAATTTCTTTTCAACAAAAATGGGGCACAAAAAGTTGACTGTGGTCCACATGCTAGATTTATCCATGACGTCCGCGCCGCACAAATTCTTTGCATCCATTTCGTCATTATTCATCTCCCTCCCGTCTCTCGTGCTCTTTTGAAGGGTAAGGAACGTATACGGAAACTCACATATTTTCCATGAGGATTAACAGCTTAAAGACATAAAAGAAGACCTAAAGCCAGCATCCCAATACTTTTCTCATTCTAGAACTCGATAGGACCCCTTGCTTACCCTTGTGTCTGTTTTACTCGAGTAACAAGTAACAGCCAGAATGATTTTAAGAGGGCATGTGTTCGCTACACGCATGCTGGCCTTGCCGATCGATGTATGCCGTCCAAACGTTTTGTCACTACACAGACGCTTGCGTTCCACTGAGTTCCAGCTACCTACATAACTGATGACTCAGTGCTCAGCGTGGCTTCAGTTAAGAGTCTAGTCACCCTATTTTTGGAGTACCTCAGTTCCAAGTCGGTATGTCCTATTCGTTCTATCTTGAATGATCCTCCCCGTGTTTCCCAAAAGCGGTTCCCTTTCCGGGACGGAACCAGGGGTAGCGCTAAGCCATCGCAATCGGATCCTCAAACAATACCCGTCAAAGTAACCAAGCATTTCATCCCTACAGTGCTCGTCGACCGTGGTTCCAGGGGCTCTTCTGGGTTGATGTAAGCACCGCATACGCCCAACCCCGCAACTTATTGTCCAGGTCTCATACATGAGTAGGCTTTCAAACGCCTCTGCATTTCCAAATGGTAGTTGAATGCATGAGCACTTCCGAAACGAGATTGGTCCATGTAAGAAAACTGTATCCTTGGTTACCTTTAGTGTTTGCAGGATCCCTTGGATTCTCGCAAAATTCCCTTCTGTGCATACAACAGCAACAGCTCCACTCTGGTTGGCATAATAGCGAATTTCATCTGAAAAAGACCTCCTTTCAAGTATGTTATCACCATGGAACATTAGTTGACATCTCAAACTAACACACTTAAGGAACTGCACCGCTAATCATCATTTCACAAACAAACCAAATCGAACTAATGATAAATCAGGTGATAATCGGATAAGATAGTAAGCCAGAACCAGCTGTCGAGTCCTGATTGATCCCTGACAGAGGACATCCTATCAAAGCTGCGCCGAGAAATAAAACAGGATACCATCTGGAGTTAGGCAGCACCACAAGTATTGATTCCCCTAAAGGGGCAGTGATATCGAATGGAGAGCACAGGGTTATCTCGAAAACAAGATTTTAGGTTTTCGAAAAGAAGGCCTTTGCTGAGCAAACCTTTTCTCAAGCCATTCGAGTCTAATAATGTAGCGAATCGAAATGAAAGTTCATAGATCTCACGGAAGCTGACATCGCCATCGTCGTCGGTCTGCAAGTCAGGTCAATGATCAAATATCAAAACTACTTGTACATGATCCCGAGAGTGGTCAATTTTTGGAAATAGCGCCTAGGAGGAAGGTTCCTGAAGCCTCGATCGTTTTCCCTAGAAGTCATGAAATTTTAGACCTATCCCTATGAGATCAAGACGTCAGAAGGGGCAAATGGCTGGCAATCACCTCACCAAAGCAACAGCCTCTCCATACTGGACAGCTCTTTCCAGGATCTGCAAATGAAACGGCGTCAAAGGATAGTCGACCATCAAAATCAGACCACGATGGACATCGTCAACAAGGACAATTTGCAGAGCGGCCAGAAATTGGCTACAATCTTTGGCAAGGCAACCCTGACATCATCAGGAATTGGTCAAGATCTAGTGAGAATCAAAGGGCGTTGCTAAGAACTCTAAGGATGGAGGAAGGGACATGGAGTTACCGTAACGAATGTAGGCCTGGCAGGCTAAGAATTGAAAGATCCGGAACAAAAATTCTTAGCTTATGTCTATACTACTCTAATATACCAAGCCATCACTACCGTGTTCACCACGCAATCCTAAGCAGTGCCCACCCTGAACGAATGACTCAATCCGCTATTGAAAATATAAACTCAACGGAAATCTCAACGGAAATCGAATGGTCTGCTAACCATGCCTTTTTAGAGAAATCACTTCAACTCTAGTTGAAGTGCTACCATATTCATTCTTCAGTATTTACAATTATTGTATTTTATTGTATTCTGCGGTAGGTATAAAGCTCAACGAAGCGTTGACACTCGTTCAATACATGTGAAAATGTCCATAATTGGCAACCAGATCACACCAACTACGGTAACCTGGTATGGGTGACCAGTGTGCATACCCTTCTAATGAGAAGGTTACAACTAACAGATCAGAAGGTGATAACTAACAGAGCAACAAAAAAAAATTGAACAACAACATCATTCAAGGATGCGTTTTGGAAAAAAAAAGAAATTCAAACGGAAAACCATTCAACTGTACTCATACTTCTCCTATAAACAGAACAAATCAATTTTTTCTCTAGAAAAGTATGGATACAATCGATTATAATAATTTGGAGAAAAAGAAAACCGGACCATGGATCAACGACAAGAAATGTTCGGCGGTATATTAAGGCAATCACGTAGTGTGGAACACAGACGACGGGGATTCCTATTGACCTTCTGACAGCTTCTGAAGGTTACATTTTTATAATTGGCCACTATACTCGGTTATAGCTGAGGTGTTTTCGAAGGGGAATAGATCGGAAGATGTTAAGTATGAACGCGCAATAAAGTTTAAAAAAAAAAACTTATTCAGGTAATACCTGTACCATTCATGCTGCCGCCTATGCTCCACAGGGCTACGTGTCCTTTGAACAGCCTTTCAAACAAAACTACACATCATAGTACGCCACAAATACTATTAGTCGTATATAAAACTTGACTTGTACTGCTGTAAAATGACGACGGATTCAAACTGACTTGTGGAACAACGCGTCACACATATGATACAGCATGAAAACAACCAAAAAAACTATATAATCTGTATTCAAAAACTCTAAATTAACACACGTGGAAAATAAATAGGAGACCAGATCAGAGATATGAACGAGCGTTGGGGCACCGTCGAGACCGCGTGTCTCATTCGCGTACCACAGCGAGTCCATGGGTGTGGACAATTGAACAAGGAGTGGGAGGGAGTGGATTCATGAGGGTACTGGGTATGGGTGGGAGTATAAGAGCGAAGACTTGGCAAAGCAGCAAGAAACACGTATTAGTACGATCTAGCGATTTCTAAGGCAAAGTACAAATGAAGAGAAATCAAACATAATTATCGTAGTATAATATTTCGTCGATGCATTGGTTCGTCGTTAGTCTTCCGAATCGATAAGGAGTGCAAACTTATTGTTATTTAGAGTCTTCCCTCCTTTCGTCACTTCTCGCTGAAATAATATGCAAATGATAACTGTTTTACTTATAGGAATGTACTTAATAAAACATAAAAAAAATTTCTAAAGCAAGGGAGTAGCTGAGTTGAGGAAAAATGGAAAATCTAGCGCCTGACAGATTCTGCTTTCCAAGATTTCCAACTACGATCTACATATAGTCCATTATATCTAATAATAAGGGCTAGCCTTCTCTGGCACATTGGATAACACCGAGTCAGTCGATCTTCTTGTGAAAGATGCAAAATAATGATGGGAAACCGAAGTCACATAGAGTTTATAGAACTTTCTTGAATCTGCTATACATTTTACGTTAAGAACAGACCCCAACAAGCGATACGCCAGTTATGACGCGGCCGTGAAAAAAAAATGCCAAAATGATGGATGAGGCTGCAAAGCAATGCCATCGCTCTCGGAGGAGGCGTAGGGAACATATTGTAAAACAACATATTGATTGAAAAAGTATGTACACACCTTATTAGTTTTCTTCTTTTCTTTCTTTTTGTCCTGTACCGAAGTGGAAGACGAGGTTGCCGCAGCTGGAGCAGCAGTAGAGGGAGGAGACTTCGCAACATCTTTCTTAACAGGTGCAACCGATCCTTTCTCTTCTACCCTGTTTTGACGATCTGACGGCTCCTCAGCGGGTTTTATTTGCTGAAAGAATGATATACAGAAATTAAAGAAAAAGAAAGAGGATAAGTGCTATCACGTATATTTCTTACTCCTGTGCATTAAAAAGTCGGAGCGTGTTCACCGATACCCACTATCTTTTTGGTGTAAGTGTGAAAGTTTCGGATATACAAGGGACCGATGAGGTAGATTCAGCAATGGTTAGTAACAAAAAAAAAACGAGAACAACTGTTAAATGTTGATAAGAAGCAGTAAGCATAGAATACTAGATACGTGTAGGAGGTTGTGATGTTCAATGGGAAGGTTTTGCATCAGAGGCGAGGGTTGAAGCTGGGATGGGCATTTCGTTAAGGAGACAAAAAGATAGAGAACCGAATGACAGCAAATCGATCAGTGCTGTAAACACACTTCTAATTCCAAACGAAAGCAAACCTCTTTAGGCGCTTCCCCATCTACAGCTTTGTCACCGGACCAAGGCCCATCGCTTTCTCGGGAATCCCTTGGTGTACGATCCTTGACGAACCCTGGACCTCCACCGCGATTTTTTCGCAATGTGCCAGTCCGACCACTGCGCAGCGAGGCGTGGGAGCCATGGTAGTCCTTAAAATGTACATTAGGATATGAACTGAACACTATCTTGAAGCTGTTTTTACATGCGGGATCCCAACCAACCTTTCGCTCAGGACGGTCTATCCGCATTTCTGTTGAAGATTTTCGTTCCACACCGTCCGGATCTCCTTCAGCAGGCTTTATTGTAGACGGCGGTGCTGCAGATTTCTCCGCTCCGGAAAAGCTACTGCGCCGATCGCTTGTGCTGCCGCCGCGGTTGAAACCGCGACCACCACGGCCACCTCGACCGCCTCTTCCCCTGAACAATGTTAATCAGATATACACGTAACAATATATGGAAAGCGCGTATGTCCCATTCAGCCCATTCAGGCATATCAGAAACTGTTGTCGGAATGAAGCAAAATAAAGCTGGCATGAGAAAAACCTGACGCAGATATTCACAAAACAGCTATAGAACTCTGATGTCGTAAACACCATCAAAAAAATGGCGCTAGAGGGTACTTTATTTATTGGGTAAACATCAGACCAGTAATTATATAATGAAAGAAAACTTATAAAAGCAAAAGATACCTCTGTGAACCAGCTGCGTCCCGAATTTCTCCTATTGTTGCACTCTTTTGTAATGGGACGAATTTGCTATTATTGCTGTTGTACACTACGCGTTGCTGAAAAAGCAAAATCTAGAGGTATTCAGGTGATAGCGAAGTACAAACGGATTGAACTGCGAAAAAAAAAACTCAATCTGGAGTAGATACATAAAGGGATCGATTCAACAAGTATAATAAAAAGGCGGAAACAGAGAAAGAGTAAACCTTGGCTGCAGGTCGTGGCATTGTCTCCGAACCGCTGATATTGGAATCATTACCGCGACGACGATCCGAAGCTGAATCTCGTCTTCCTGACGGAAGTGCAGCTTCTCCAGACACCGCAGGGGGATTCTAAAAAGCGATTATTTCCACATCTATATATTATTAAAGTAACGAGATGGAATTTGATGTAATAGAGGGTAAGTAAAGGAAATGAGTACATGTGCTTCAAAGAGCAGAGGAAATCATCAAAAAAGCAACGGTGGATGAGTCATGAAACCTACAATACGACGATCCCAAGCGAAATGTGGAGAACGGGCGAAATGAAAAAATGCAAAGGATAGAAAAAGACTCAGAAAGATAGAGAACTGTAGCTCAAAAAACTGGCAATACATAGATCTTGGAGAAAAACACGAAATTTTCGCGGAAGCTCGTTTAACAACAACAACAACGTTTAACATAGGCAAGAATACCTTATTGAGCAGAATAACCACGAAACGACAAAGTTCAAATCCACTGACTGACTGGATGATAGAATAGCAAACCTCATTCGAAACATCCTGCACTCTGTCAGTTTCCTTTATATTCTGAGTTTGCAAGGGAACCTTCGCGTGGATCGGATCTAAAGGCGGGCTTGCATCTGTAGCATCTGTAGATTCGCGTCTCATGATCCTTAAAAGAAGTCGAGAAGTAATAAAAAAAATTCGTACCTTTTCTCATGCCTTAAGTACAACTTACTATCTTACCAAATCTGACTTACCTGTAGCTACCAGGACCGCCGGAATCATACCGTTGTTGTGGATGAAACTGAGCAGCGTTTGCATGAGGCTGTTGAGGATGTTGGCCAGCATTGTGTGATGTTTGATATGGACCGTACTGCAACAATCGAGTATCAGCAACATGAAAATTAGCAACTGAAGTAACATGAGTGCTTTAATAATAATTATATACAGTAATCTTCATAAATAAATGTAACAACGAACCGAAGCGTGAGGAGGAATCGGAGGTCGGGAAGGGGCATGATGGTATTGATGATGCTGCGCATGATGCACACCATCACGGGCTACATGACCATGCTGACTTCCGTACTGGTGTTGATGGTACGGTGCGGCACCTTCAGGATGTTCAGCAGCTGCAGCTAAGCGGGCCGCTTCGGCTTCCTCCTATGAATGAAAACGGCAAACGTAATAGAATATATTTATTATCATATTCCATACTCTTCGGGGGATGAAGAGTATGGAATGAAAAGGGCGTAGTAGAGGCATAAGTGGATGTGGAATAACTTACAGTTACCTTGTACTTTTGCTGTTCAAGGAGCCGTTCTCGTTCTTGTTTCGCCTCAATTTCACGAAGTCTCTCTGACGTATCGACTGGTTTAGCCTCGCCGAAAATGTCCTTGTTGGTCAATTTCTTCGGAGCCGTCTAGATTACTAATTTCTTCACAGAAAATTCGGATGAGCCATGAATGCAGGTGAGAGCCAAAATAGCAACATAGCAACTAATAAAAACGAATAAGACTTGAGAATAAAATGATCAGATGAAGTACCCTTGGTGTAGGTGCGTCCATATCTTCAGTGCTCGTGCTTAAGCGGGACGACGTCCTGGATAGCTCCATCCTCCGTCTGTCAGGATCAAACGCAGTAGACTCAGTGCGAGAACGACTACAAAAAAGAGTATGAGTAAAACACATTACCGACCTTCAAAAGCTCAAAAACTTACGATATTGGTCCCGGTTTCTCTCGCTCATCATGGTGGTAACTGTCACTTCTCTGCAATTCCTGACTCCCATAGTAATTACCTCGCCCTCCACCGTAGCCACCGCTGCGATTTTGCATTCCACGTGAACGAGGGGGGTATCCTCCCCCTCCATAAGGGGCATTGTGCTAAACAATGTCACTGTATCGTCTAGAAATTCATGACGAAAGAAGAATTAGTAACGAAAACTTACGTAGTAGGGACCGTTCCCACGATAAGATTGACCTCCTGACGGAGGATATCGTCCCATACTAAAGTCATCGTAAGTGTTGTAGAACTTTCCGCCACGTGGGAACGTTCCGCTCATTGGTGGCCCGCGGTATTGTGAATTGCCGCGATAATCGTTCGGATTATTGTAAGATCGTCCACTAAAACTTAAGAATTAAACGCGTAATGCAACACGAAAGATGAAGACATTATGCTGGCCTACCTCCTATCATAACTTCGGGCATCATTGCTGTAAAGACTTGATTGACTATTGTATCTATAAATAGATGGCTTGAGTGAAAGTATTCCAAAAGTCACGTCGCAAGTGTCATTTTGGTAGCCAGAAGCTAACTACACTATGTTTTCAGGGAAGACGCAGTTTATCCAACTCATTCGTACCTGCTATCTCTACTGTACGAAGGGGGTTCGTTGTTGTACTGACGATTTTGCAGTTCTTGTTGAGACGGCCTTTCACGGATTCTCTCCTCACGTATCTCGTAGACCTGCGATAAAAGAGACGATATCATCGCTTTTAAGAATTCCCGAGCAATTTTGAATCGATTTCAGTACTCAAATTATGAACTTATTGGCTAGTACCGTCGATAATGTGACAGAAGATGGAACTAACTTCAGAATGAGGGGCAAGGTTAATTGCCACTATCACAACGACTCACACGACTCCTTAACCTTAATCTTAATTCAATGGTCTTGACCCACGTTGGATTTATCACTGCTGTCACTTCCTTGGAAAAAAAGAGGAAGGGGGTTCTTCTACTCTTAAAAGGGGAAAGTGATTTTTATATTCTACTCCAGAAAAACCAAAAGTTTGAAATGAAATCATCGAAAGCTCTTACTCGAAGGGTGCGACCTCTGAATTGTTGACCATCAAATTCTTTCGCACTCTTTAACGCTTCAGCTGTGCACAAATCTATTCGTGCAGCGCAACGATCCTTCAGAAATGTAACGTCTCGCACCTACAAAAAAATTAAACAAAAAAGTTCATAGAAAGTTAAAAGATTATTAATGAATAAATTTACCTTAGTATCCCCACCGAAGTGATAAAAAAGTTCCTCGTTCGTACACTGTGGAAGATTCGTTACCTGCAATAGATTTAGTAGGGGACGAGCATTTTCCCTATCAGCGAGGTACGATCGCCTTGGTTGTTTCTTAATCCTACACCGATGAACTGGCCATGGCAAAATATCCAAAGAGTACAACACGAACAGGGATAACAAAAGAGTGGTACCAAAGCATTATGCTTTTTTCTCACACCCCGAGTTGCGCCCCTGGGTAACAGCAAATAGCTACCCATGTTTGATATGGCTCACAAGAAAAAAGGAATAATAATAACACTCGAAACGGTCAAGAAAAATTGGTACACCATGTTCATCCAAAATTAAGCAACTAATACCAACAAACCTGACCATGAGTGACATCGATGGCCACCTTGAAACAAGTCAGTATCAGAATTTTCACAGAGGGAGTTCAACAGGGCTTTTAGGGCTTTTGCAAAAGAAAAAATAAGTCGCATGTAAAAAATTGTGAGAGATTATAAAAGTCTCTCTATAATTTCGGGAACGTAATAATGTACCTGTACAGCAAAGACTTGTTGTTCAGGAACTTTTCGTGTGCTCTCGTCCGCGTCTCCTATAGTCTGCTCTCGTATTTCATTCTCGTCATTTTTATCAATTGCAGGAGCAGTCTGTACCTGCACAAATAGAGCACTTGAGTAGCGCACTAAATGAATTCTTCTCTCTCTATAAATCCAGAAAGCTTCATAGTCGGTTGCTACGACCATTAAGGTACGTCTAGAGAATATAATTGCTCATTCCATAAAAAGAAGAGAAGAAAAAAAAAGAAAAAGGATTGGTTCGCTATCAAGAAAACTTTCGCCTTTTGGTACTGTAAAATAGAGATAAGTACCTGCTCTCCTGCCATTATTTCTGCCCACGCTCCCATCGTGCCCATATCCATATCAGTCATCGATGGAGGGTTAGCAAATGCCACATCAGGGCCTAGAAAGATGAAATAAGTATTCATGTACATCGCTTAATGCATAATCAAACGTTTGCTGGAAAACTGCTGTTCATAATCGAATGACGTCAATCCAAAACATATTACAGGCAGGATCTGCTCGTCAGAAAAACTTTGGAAAAACCACCTTTTTTCATGTACACGTCGAACAAAAAGTTGCACTTTGCTTGAAAAAAAAAACAATTACGTTGAACTGTTTGAAAAAGAAAATGGTTTGATCAGATCGCCAATCAATTTTTGCGCCGCATAATCCCTCCTTCACCACAATTTCCTCACAACGCTAAGAGTTTTGCTAAACGAGATTTTGGGTATTGATCTGTCCTCAAAATTTTTTGACCACAACTTAATGAGAAACATGAACAATGAAGCAGAGAATTGAATGCCCTGCATAGTAAACACTTAGAAAGGATGCGTTAAGTCACGAAGAAGAAATGTCGAAAACCAGCCGGAACTCTTGAATGGATGAGTTTAAGGAAAAAAATGCGCAAAGTGTTAACCTAGAACGACGGAATAAGCGAAACCAGGGAAGGAAAACTACAAAAAAAGGTAGAAAAGTGAAAGGGAGCTAAGTCATAATATCGAGAAAGAGGGAGACGATGGGAAAGTATGAAGTGAAAAGCAATGGTTCCACACCGGTTCGGTTTTCTTATTCTCTATGCATCTTCTCCACTGAATCACCTCTTCGACGAGCTGAGGAGTAACTTCTGTTGCCGATATGAGTGTCTCGTAAAAGAAGAGTCGTGCATTTAAGAAAGGTGTGTATATGAAGAAAGAAACAGCTATTATCATAACACTCTTATCTACATCTTTTTGGTGATGGGTTTCTGCTAATACATAGCTCTCTTATCACGAAGCAAGGCGGAGAAAAGACTTATAATCGATACAACTCCGCGGTACTCAATGGTTATCGAGCGATTGGTTCGTCCTTACAAAAACGCATTATAGATTGGCTCTAGGCCTTGAAACGAACGATCAATCGATCGCAACTAGTTCAAATGACACTTTCTCAGCTAGGTAACAAAAACGGTAAATCAAGGAGATAAGAGCAAGAACGACAAAGACGGCTTCAAGACGCCACATGACAAAGCAAAGAATTGCACTACACATATCTCTCGCTTTTTCAAGAATACCAAACCACTCACTTAATTCTCAGCAAAATATTGTTCAGTCGAAAACAGTGCGGGTATATGGCTTTAACTCAATGATCACACTGTTCCCGTCCCCATTTCACACCTCCTAGATCCACATTTATAATTGCATCGGACCAGTTGAAAATGGATTAGTGTTACTGATATGCTAATCCACCTATTACAACCAACCTCCCTCCTCAAACGCACGTTACACCATGCATTACTCACAGCCATTTCCTGGTAAAAACCTCTTTCATATTTCCCACGCAATCTTGCCTCAATATTCTTTCAGAAAAAAGTCTCCTTACTTGGCATGACTTTACCGATTAGTACACTGCATTCATGGTTGGTAAAGCGAAAAGTTCTCATCAACTCTATTATTCAACGACAACTGAAAAAATTATCAAAAATTTGACCCAAAAAATGGAATGGTTTGCACTACCTCACGGGAGCAGTCTATGTGGCAGATAACGGAAACATCGATTTAAACTGGAAGAACACTAACCTCCACCTCCACCTGAATCGGATGGATTGTTCACTGACATGGCTTGAAAACTCAGGCAGCTTGCTATTGCCTAAAAACAATGACTTTTTGGAAATGCTTACGCTCACTAGCAATCACCTCGACAAACGAACAAAAAATTCATTTCGAATCACGAAATTTGAAATGGAAAACCTGGAAAGTGAACGGCACAGTACAATTAATGATGGCAGACCAGCAGCCAACGTTCGCTTCCACAACAATATTGCAAATAACATGAAATCATCCCATATTCAGGAAGGAGTTATCTTGTGATACCGCAAATGTAAACAACCGGCATTTATCGTCTTTCATCTCTTAGTTCCAGCAGTAGAGGATTGAAGATTTACCAAGGAAAACAATTTACAGCTGCTAACAGAGAAAACCCTCAGCAGACGCTTGATCAGGTATTGGTTCTACAAAAGTAGCGCAAATCTCCATCATCAGTATGTCGAGATCCATAATGACAGTTAGCCGTAAGGAGTTCTAAGTTCAATTCCACTCAGAAAAGAACCTTAGATGAAATACAGTATAGGAAACATGCATTATTTGAAGCAGGCCTACCAAAAGGTGCCCAAAAAAGCGATGTGTTCGCTTATAATGGAATAACGTAAAAAGTCAGCCCTCCTCACACTATTCCGATAACTTCAAGTTTGAGCTAAAGGAGGGCGCTGCGCTACACTTCTATGCACCATAGTGGGTCAGTACTCTAACCACAGAATTGCTTCACTTTCCAGAGTGCAGTAAACACAAGGAGCTCGTAAAGAGAACCGACAAAGATGAATACGCTACTTAACTTTGCCATAATCCAGCTTTAACAATCTTTTGATAATCTCAGTTAAGAGTCGAGTAGAAGCCCGATGAGAGGGAGGGTTAATAAGCGCTGATCACTTCAGTGAGATGAGTCCCAAAACTTCTCATTTCCTCCCTATTTTTGAATCTAAAAACCTTTTAACACCCGTTCTTCTTCAATAATTTCGATAATCAAAGAACAGAAGTGGCCTAAAAACCCATTCCACCATCCAGTAACAAGATTTTCAACAGCTACGCTTATCGTATGAGAAAGTACATTTCAAAAAAGGGTAGGATTCTGAAACTTACGAAACAGCTTCGGATTACGACGAGGATGATAGCTTCCCAGTAACCTTAAACAAATAATGCGAGATGCTGTACTGCTACACAGTACTATAGATAAGGGAAACACCACCTGAAGTGGTCACAAAAACTAAATTTTACAACGATCTGAGACCTTCATAGAATGCAACGAGTGTTGATTGCTGCTTGAGAAATTAAAGAGGCAACTAAACACACTACATCACAGCCACCTCTCCTTCTTCTTGGTCAAGCAACGATGATGCAGTCAGTTAACACCACTACATCGTTGAAAAAGCTGCAAATTCAAGTTTATTCAGAAGAAAACACTCCTACATAGAAGTTAAGGGAAACATGGGGAGGATGGCTGACACAAATTCGCTGACAGTGACCGCGAAACTCTGAGACGAGAGATGTAAAAAAGGATCATTTGGCGATTCTTCGCCAATGAAATGACGAAGAAAAGAAGGGACACAGTCGATAGATTGAATAAAATCTCAAGACACTCACAAAACAATCGTTTCATAGCATGTGAATTCGGTTATGAAAATTTCATAAAAAAGGGCCAGTAACATACAGCAAAAATGATACCAAGAAATGAAAAATGACCCAAGAAATGTAAGAATAAGCTTCTTCGAAGCATGCTTTAACAACGTAAATTCTAAAACTTCAATACAGGACATCACATTTCAAATCTTTACTTTAAAAACTTCACTTGTATTGTAAAATCAATGACAATACGCATGAGCAATGACTCTAATTGAATGAAGAAACCGTTCGCCTGCAAATGACGTGCAATCTCATTTGCTGAAAGGAAAACGGGGCTCTAGTGGTTCGAGTTTTCAACACACATGGCTAACTTATTATAATCCACCCTCAAAACTGAACCAGCCTGAATCCCTTTCAGACAAGCTTCATTTTCTACACATGCTACTCGCCTTCCTCTCTGTTCCTATCTCCCCACCCTTACAAGAGGCTGAAAGTCGTTCTGTACCTGCCTCGCAGAGTATAGCATTTGCAAAATGATCACGTTAGCTGTCCTAGCTCTGCTAATAATCGATTTTAGCTTGAGCTCCCTTATGACACAGACTTAGCTATAGATCAACCGCCTGGGATTAAGGTTGCAAGTGTACGGAGTGTATGTCACATATTGAAAGAGAATTGGTCCCAATCAGTTTTTTCAGCCATTCGCCACAAAGCTCCCTTATTACGATCTCCTATTTGGGGAAGGATAGATTATATATAATGGATATTCTGACAGCACGTCGACAAGCCGATGAGCTTTGGAAATTGAAAAATGATTTTGGCTTACACAGGGTAAATTTGGGAGCATAGTTTTTTTATGAAGGCTGTCACTCACTCATAATTTAAGAAAAATGTTAAATAATACCCTCATAAAAGAATCGATAGACCAGAATAGGCTCACTTAGTCGCTTTTGAGAGGTTTCATTAAATGAACCACTCCGGGGGTATTCGCAGACAACTAAAAAGAAATCCGTGGATTTTCACTAATAGGAACAATATTTCAAATGACTAAACGCACTCGAGGCAATTGTATGAATATATCACTTTTAACGACGAGGATGTCATCTGTTGACCGCTACACCACTCAAATACAGCCAATACCATGAAAACAACCCATAACTCAATGGAAAGGTAAAGAACTGGTCGATCAACCACCAGCGACGGGATTCTAAAGATCGGAACTCAAGCCGCGTGAATTACTACAATATGAGTAATCAATTTCAACGGGACGCAGAAATGCTAGATGGCGCCATGAGATTGCTGGATAGCAGGTTCAGCAACAAACTTCATAACAAATTGGAATCATACAGAATTTATAACATATATAACAAACAACATATAACAAATATAGGAACAAGTTTAAAAACCATTCGATTTTAGGAAGAACATAATCGAATAAATGCATCTTTATTTGAATCAATAGAAGTTAGATAGAGCTGGAGCTATTATATTGATCAAACGTTTGTTTCGAAAAAAAAAACTAACAATTCCAAACGATACAAAGGCAAGATAAGATTTAGACGAATAAAAAAGGAAACACCCAAACAAGAGCCGATGAGGACTGAAATCATTTCATTTTTTGAAATCATCATTCCGCACCTAACCTTGTATCCCTTGACAATCGTTTCTGCTATCCAAGAAAAAACGCCCCGAGGACGCTCTTATCTGAAAGTCGAGAGCCAAGAATGACGCGGAAACAATAAGATTGTAAAGAAAGTGCGGTTTCGTAAAGGAAAATCGTTTCGAAATTTTCGTAACCGGTTCCGAAGTACAATGCGGATTTGCTTTAAGGTTATAAGGAGAAGAACGAAAACAACTAAAGCAGCACTATACATATATGTGTATCGTTACAATTAGCAATAGGAGGGAGTAGAAAGTACTTATGATTCTTATATGAAGCCCCTAAATAATGATTTTTATGATTATGTGCCACAAAATAGTAAAAGGAGAGCGCCGAAGATATTGCTGGAATTCGCTCCATTTTTGTTTCTTCTATTTTTACTCGTCTGGGTTAAAGTTTCGCGAAAAAAAAAAAGAACTTCAGTTATAAAACAAACATTTCCTCAACAGAACCGACGCAAATTGGCTCTATCACAGTTGAACCTTTTCCGAAGAATTTCAGTCACACTATAACGCATAAAAATGACTCGCTTACGTGTACATATAGGAAATATCAGCGACATTTTTGCAGTACTTGGCGAATAGTAAAACAACCTTTAAATACAGGTTCGAGTTACTCTGTTTTCAGTGCCGATAAAAGAAACTGCTTCTTAGACAGTAAGGAATGCAGTAATCACATGAAAATGACAGCATTTTATAACAGTAGTAAAAGGCACAGTAATTGGGAAGTACGCTGATACTTAGTACACAGGATTATCATTTAGCGGCCACAAAAGGGACAAATATTGAAGGGCATATTAGCAATTAATTATTCGAAAAACAAACATATCCATTAAGTTGAACCGAGAGGTCTTCAACAGCTGAATAGGAGAGCATCCTCGGTGCCTAATGAATGAATCAACATATCGATGAAAGCAGGCAGATTTTCAAGAAACCTAACGACAAAACGGTTTCACTCAAAAAGTAGCACATGCAGATGACCTTTGAATGATGAACGAAGCTATCTTCAACAAATAAGACTACCTAAGCATGCCTACATTACCTAAACATTTTGTAAAAAGAAAAAGTTATTGAAAACGATAGGGTAAGGTTATTATACATACAAGTTGCTTGAAACAAATTGTTCCCCGTATTTCTTAAAAATGACATGATCCAGATCGTTCTTCTCAAAAATTTGATGAAGTAGACAGTTTCTGATCGGGAAAAGAGTAAAGAAATCAAAGGTTGGAAGATTCCTTGTGAATCGAGGGCAAACAAAGGAACTAATTTTTTTCGATAAAAATAGTGCTAGCAAACTTCCCTGGCCACAATGAAGAATATAATTAGCACGGATGGATTGTGCAGTTTTCCAAGTATGGAGAGGAAAAAGGAATAATCGAACATAACGAAAAGAAAGAAGGAATCGGAGAAGTTTTCAGCGCAACCGCCGTCTCGTGGCGACGGGTTGGTTCAGAGGACGCGACGCAGGCCGCAACGCAACCAGTTCGGGGTGAAGAGTATGTGGATGTCGGAGACGCAGACAACTACCTCTGCCTCCGCCCGGGGGTCACCAGCGCACGGCTCAGCCGGCTTGACGGGCAGCAGCAGTACTCACCCTCATACCGCAGAACGTGCTGATTTCAACACCGGAAATGACGTCCGGGAACAATCGGGGATGACTCAACGCCCAGTTTAATCACCCAGTGGTATACTGGCATGTTCACTAAGTTGGACAGGGCCGATCTTGACTGCTTGCGGCTGAATGCCATTATCTTTTGCAAAGAAGTTTCTTATCAGATCGTGGAATGTAATGGGAGCATCGCGTGTTAGTTTCTTTTTTTGCTGACAGGGCGTATTCTCCCGTAATTAATATAGCTTTGCAGGTACCAAAGCGGATGAGTGTAGGGATCCCGCCCATTGGGCCTACTTAAATGGGCGGGATTTTACTCTCGTCCGTGTCCTTCAATGGACGAACTGGTTAGCAACTTTTTCGCTCTACGGAAAACAGATGCCTTGTTCGAAATACTACAGCGCTCCGTTTTCCTGTAAAAAAAAGTTTGGGACTTGTCCCGAGACAACAAAGAGCATAGGGAAGCTCTGCTTACCTCTACCAACCCTTACAGTGTTCACACTAAAGGCTAATGTGCAATATTCGTTAACTTAACTTAAACAATACCTTAACCATCGTTCCCGTCCCGTCATAACTGAGGGTCTCGAAAAAGTCGTGGGTTCACGCGCGGTTGGTGCACTACATGCCTTGCGGAGATACCGTACTTGACGACGAGTTGTTCAGGAGGTGATTAATGGTACAATTTTATAGTTGAAGCAGCTGGCTTTTGCAGCCCACAACTCGCCACAACGCCACCTAACTTTCAAATGGGGCAATCATACAAACACCTTTCGATACAGCTAGCCTATCCCTTTCCCTTCGAAACCCTAGCAACTTGGTTTGGCAAATATAGTGATCCTTTGAGTCGCTCTGGCTTCCCATTCAAAATATCGTAGAGTGGGAGGGAGATGGGGGGAGGGGATGATTCACATTTCTACATTACCTTGTAGTTGCTTTCAGTTGGAGTGTAGAAGCAGCTGTGATGAGGTGAGGCGTTTGAGTCAACGAAGCCCTTAGACTTCTTGTTTGCCGAGCTTGACTTTGCCTATCGACACAAAATTTCAGATTAGCTTTGGCTACTTAACGGAAAGATGATTCACTCACAACCAATCAGGTGTTTTCGGAAACTGTTGGCAAAATCCCAGTAACCCATCACAGTTATAGAGGCCACAGAGACAACAATAAACAAGATTTCGGCGGTCTGTTTCTCTGATCAGAAATTGACAGAGCCCCATTAAGATGAAGTCTAAAACACCACCGCTTTTTTGAAGCTTGTTGGTCAGTTGTTTTTCGAAGTTGACAACGCAGTGGGTGAAGGATTTTCAAGAAAAATCAGAAGAGCGTTATCGGTCCGGGACGCGATCCCCAGGCCTCAAGTGTGTGATAGTGCGCCTCTCGCGGCTACACCACCTCCACCCTATCTCATAGTGCTTCAGTTCCACTGGTTTCCCACTTATGTGAACGAGTTACTAACACTGTGCTCACCCCTTCGATTATTGTTACAGGGCTATTTTTAATAAGTGTTTGAACTACGAATTAACGCGCCGTGCTCCTGATTCCACCCACGAAATCATAGAATCAATTGATCCTCTGAACCACAAGTCTACGATTCTGCAGGAAACAGCACCTTGGTTCGAATCCCTGGTCGATATTCACCCAATCCGACCTAGTCTTCAAATTTTTCCAAGGTCGGTTAACTGGTAACCATGTCCTTCATCCTTAGAAGAGGTGTAGGCTCTTAATATATCCTGAAGTGCGCATTACTGCATGAATATACCAAATCTCGTTGGATGTCCTAATGATTAGGCAAAATGATAAGTTTACATTTAATTGTAACAAGCAAGTTAATTTTATTACCCGTTTTAAAGGCGTTAACATATTGAGGTACCGGAAAATGTAATCATGACCAGAGGGATCACCGATGAGGTGTGACCAGGGTATGATAAGACTAAAATCTACAAATCGCATTTGAAAAAATAAAAAAAAATGGCATAAATTTGACATCTACGTCTTATTAGTGAATCAAAAATTTAGAGAAACCATTAGATATGCACTATGGGGAAAAAAGAGGTGAAATTGAAAATAAGCTTCTGTACGTTCCTCCAGCTCCTCCAATCTTCTAGACTTCATCGTTGAAATAGCTGAACCCGTCGAACTGAAACGAGCATATTTAATGATGGGCACAAACATTTCCCACACCCACAACAGGGGGTCATAAAAATAAATTTTGGGCCTATTTCGAGGCAGTAGACCCATACAGCGTGATATTTCTATTCCTTGCTATTGATAAACTCTGATCCTGCCACCTCGGCGTAGGTGGTATAGTGGCAAGTGGCGCACTATCACACACGCATGATCGCGGGTTCAAATTCCGGATCTATCTGCCCCGGAAAATCAAGCCTTCCATGCCTCCCAGTTTGGTCAGTTGCTATCAGAATCGTCTGGAAGCATAAGAGCACTACTTGCACATCAACTGGTCACCACAAGCCATTGTACAGTCCACAAACACATTCAATACGCCATTACGATTCTGAATAGAAGTCGAATGCGGTGCACACTCTTCATACGGATGCCCATAACTTCATTTTTTATTCTACTACCTTTGGCTAAATACAGGGCCAAACGTCGAACGTACCCCTTTTTCGAAAGTTTCTCGGAACCGTTTTACCGTATTCTGTAGAGAGAACTATGACGTCCAATAATCAAAAGAAAATAATGTGATAGTTGGAGTTATTGGAGCGACCCACCAATTGGAACTCCCATACCTGCAGGGGAACTCGCTGGCTATCAGTCGCATTTATGACAGTAGGAAATAGTTATTGCTCGATTAAAACGGTGTTTCAGAAGTTGAGCAAAATCCAAACACGTCAAAACCGCTTCCGATTGTCATCTTCACTTCTTATGGAAATTGAAGGCGCAGTTCATGATCAATGGATGTACCTCCAGTGGGTTAGAGGAAACTGTTGATACAGAATGGGATGTAGGTGACAGCGGAAACGAGAAAATTCCAAGAAGCCCCATAATGTAGAACCTTTACAAAATTGTTGATTTCTGAGGTTGGACGAGGTCGTGACGAAGGGATGTCCGCAGAGGGACGCTACAGACTTCTGATTTCTGCCTATCATAATTCTCGCTAGGAGCTACGGCGAGCACTGTCATGAAATTGTCAATATAGCTGTACAGTCAGCGGTTGTTCCGGCTCTCTGACAAAAAGGGGTTCCGTTTCTCACATTCGAGCCAGAATTCGTAACTAGCAAAGAGTAAGACTAGCAGGGGTAGCATAGTGGCAAAGGGCGCATTACCACACATGCAGCGTCACGGGCTCAATTCCCGGATTGACATCCGCCCAGGCCAACCAAGCTTTCCATCCCGCCGGGGTCGGTTAATTGCGCCAAACTTCTATGGAGAAGAAAAGATTCGTCTAGATTTTGGTAAAATACCACAATCCACTGTATAGGCGAGAAGCTTAGAACGCCATCACGATTCTGAATGGAAGTCTAAAGCTGGGCGCGTCCCAAGACGGGATTGACTGACGCCAACGATATTATACTTCATTTTAAAGAGTATCAAGCTATAGTAGTCAGTTATTCTACTCAATTTTGGTGCACTACACCGGGTATAAGACCAAAACAACAACAACAATCAATAACAACAACAACGGCAACAACCCTTCTTCCACCACTGTGCTTTTGATGAATAAGTATGCCTGAATAAACCGACTTCAATATCGTACACAGAGCTCACCTCGTAATTCTCATTGAAACATTCGAAATTCTCTTCGGCGTCCCAGTCAGCCACTTCTGGCTCGAGTGTTGTTTTACCATTGTTCAGCACGTCAGCCAAAGGATTGCACTGAATTAATTATGTGTCAACTCTTACCTATTACCTTTGAGCATGACTTTGCAGAAGGTGGTCCCATCAATATTACCTACCAAACTTTTTTTCGAAAAAAAAAACGTCAAAACAGGGTATAACAGCACTTCAGGGGCGAAATTTCGCTAAATTCCACCGAAATGCAATTCATCACAGCGTCTAACCCCTTTCTTATTACGCTGAAAAATCTTGGGTCTGCAGTTCATCGGACTAACCAATTCAGGGAGAAAACAAGCAGACCAGGTGAATTCTATCTATGATACCACACCCATTATTCTCTTGACACGTAGCATTACCTTAAGAGCTTCTACATCGTCAAAGTCGGTGCTTTTAAAGAATTCGTGATTCCGAAGCGCTTCAAAAGACCGTAATCGTGTTGATGATGGAAACGCCAACATCTGGAAGAACTTTAGTAAAACTTGGAAGCGAAAGAAAATCCATTTAACCAACTCACCTGATCAAATAAGTCTCCCAGCGCTTCACTGCAGTTCAACGGAGTACTGTAATCGACGAATCTAAAGAGATATCAGAATTGTTTGATAGAGAATGAAAATATTTCTAGGGAAGGACGAAACATTTTTGATTTACCATCCAATTATTTTTTGAGAATATTTCAATCAGATGTCACAAAGTGTAAAAAATAACAAAAATAGTCCAGAATTCGATTTTTTTTTGAAATTTTCAAATTTTTTTCAAGCCGAACCTCAGATGACAATGATGAGTGGCATTGGCATTTGGATACGGATACTTTCCAGTGACAAGGATGTGAAGGACAACAGCAAGTGACCACCAGTCGACATAATGAGAGTAATGCTCCTCTGCGGCCACATCTGGTGACATGTACTGAAAGATTGTGAATAATTTTGGTAAAATCGCATTTGAAGGTGTTTCGCGACACGGAATCAAAAAATGAAATGTTCTTTTCTAACCCTCTTCTCCTAGTTTTCAGCTTCATTTCCCCATATTACGTGTAACAAAAACACTAGCGACATTTCAATTCCTACCTGTAATGTCCCACAGATGGTGTTCGTTTGTTCGCCATTTTTCAACCGTTTCGCCAATCCAAAATCGACTATTTTCACATGTCCAATCGAATCCAACACGATATTTTCGAGCTTCAGATCCCGATAAATGACTTCGTTATTATGAAGAAAGTCTGGAAAACATTCGAATTTGGGTGGTCCAATTCAATACAGAGAATTAGCTATTAGAATTGCTCTAACTTAGTGCTAAAGCGAGTTCAGCCCCATAAATGCGGACACTCGTTTCAGGCAAGATACCATGTTCCTTCCACAAGGAAAACATATCTCCCATACCTCCGATAGGATACTGTAACACACATAAATTAGAATTCAGTCAATTTATGGTTTTTCAACAATCAAAGTTTAACTGTCTGTAGATCCCTAAGAATTTGATAATAACAGGTAAATGAATAAGCCTCCAAATTCGGGGTGAAAGAAAGAATAATTCGGTGTAGGTATGGGAAGGTAGCGGAAAAGTGCGGGTCTGGGATCATTACCTTTTGTTCTATCGTCAACAATAAAAAATAGTCAGCTAGTTTGGGAGAATCGCCAAAAGTCAATCAGAAAATGACGAATGACTTGGACACTATGTCAGCTAACTGTGAAAAGCACACTGATTATTGCCCCCACCCCTTTGATCTACGTGCAACTGTTTCACCGGCACTTTGGCTTCATTCCGGGAAGGGCGTTCTCAGATCAGATTGCTCATAAAATTGGCATAGTTCTCACAGCATAGGTATTCAGAGCAAGACTTCATTGAAAATTCGAACCTGCAGTACAGTGAAGAGCTTTGATCGGGTTTGCCACGAAGCATAAAGTCGAGCAATAAAAATATACGGTGAAAGAAGCCTCTGAAATATAGCGCACACCATTATACTGAGGTTTCAGACTTAGGAAACCTCTGTGAATGTGAGCATTTCATAATTGCAATAAAGGGTGGAAGGACAAAGCCATTCAGCTCTAGTCAATCCCATTCTGGAATCTTAATCCGCATTCGGCTTCTATTCAAGTTGCAGTGGTGTTTAGAATACGTATATGACCTATGTATACAAAGATCTGCAGCAGTTAGCTGACGAACAAATCAACACTTTTATCCTCCCAAACGGATCCACTACCAACCAATCGACTCCGGAGATATGGGAGGCCTTGGAATAAAGGGTGAGACTGAGGTGATAGGTAGCTGCTATAAATGAGGGGTTCCATCCAGTATAACTTGACACCTCCTCCTCCTGCCTCTCATTGAAAAAAACTTGAAAAAGGTAGACTCGCATAAAATCTCGAGAATTTTTTTGCTAAAACTAAAAGCTGGCTGCAGTTGTCATTTGGGAGCCAAACTGAGTTTATGTCACATGATCAATGTATGCTTACCTGGACGGCAACTTCTCGTTTCACCTGCTGAACGGCCGCTTTCCCAAGGATTAACGACTTGTGCTGGATCTTGAGCGCATAGATTCCTCTGCTATCATTCTTCGCAATCGCTCGGTACACGCGTCCAAATGATCCATAGCCGACCTCATTCGAAATCTACAAAAAGTCAGAGTGGTGCCTAGGTTTCGGATCAATTTGAGCACCCTAAGCCACTAGTTGCAAGTAATGTCAAGAAACCCCATTTACGATTGGATAGTTGGGTAGTCACTTTGGGCTATGGACGAAGGAATAACTTCTAACTGTAAAACTTCATTTCAATATTGAAAGTAACTATAATCTCGCTGGGGGTGACTGAAATCCCAGAGAATGACGGACGACTCTGCTGGACTGACATGAGGAGAGACGCTCTTCTATAGGGAATCCGTTTACGTTTTGAGTAATACCTTGTATGAACCTCCCACCATGAAGATGTATTTAAGCGGTGTATCCAATATTGGTAGAACATCGGGAGTGATGGTGCGAAAGATCCAGCAATGGAGAAAAGGTATATTCCCCTATTCTGTTTGAAACAATATTTATAAAAAGGAAATGAAATTATTTACGAGATTCTACATTGCAATCAGAAGGGCTTGTTGTTCTTCTCAAGGAACTCTAGGAAGTTTTTTTTGGCTTGAGTGGAGACAAAGCTCGTCTCTAGGACAAAAAGCCGTAAGATCACTTACCAAGAAGTTTTGTTCAGTGATAGCGCTACGAGAAGGGAATTCGGGTAAAAACAGCGCCTCGAGCCATGGTATTGGGAACTCCTTGCGATGAATATTTGTACAACTGTCTGTAATTTAGCGTCTCAGTATTTCGAACATTTTAGATGGTCTGCTGACAGTTTTTTCCAAAGACCAGTAACTTCACTTATTATTTTAACTGCCACTATTCGGCTGAAAAACAAAGATCAAACCTTAGAGACATTTAAAATGGTAGAAAACAACTAACGAATGCTTTCCGAGAGGGATTTTGCGTCGTTCGCGTTAGACGCCTGCCTGAGTCCTTCAAGCGACCGGCAGCGATCTTTCATAGACCAACTGTTTCCGATTTCTGAAAAGGTTACGGAGAACATTTTTAAAAGGGAATTCAAAGGAAATAAAGTCCTCTAGTTCAATGGTTGCAGTTTTAACTTTGTAATGCCAGACCGAAGAGATCTGTACGTGATCGCTTGCTGACCGCTCAGACGAATGCCTTCGCTGTCAAGCCCTCTTATAGTAGCGCTGCGGTATAGCCAGTTCGCCAAGCGAGGGTAAGTCGAAGCCAAAACTTCACGAAGTATAAGCAGAACTTGCCTTTTTGTGCTTCAAGTGGATTTCTGCAATTTTGAGCTCACAGTGTGCCCCTTGACGATACTTTCTTGGATTTGACATATAAAAAACCTGACGTTAAGAAGGGACCAACAAAACAAAATCCGAGAAAGTATATTTGTTGGTTCTAAGAGATAACCCCTGATTATTCTCAATTTTCGCAGTAATTGTTCAATGCCTATACCAATAACCGGATTAATGAAACACTAAAGTCTCTCTTGATCCTTCAGGCGTCTCTGAAGAAACGAATTCCGTTTATGAATAGCAATCGTCTCGAATGGGCTTGCCACTCAGTTCAGTTGCTCTCGATTGACGTTCTCGGATGACTGCCAACGAATCCGAGGTGGTTGGTTGATGTACCCACCGCGTGAAGTAAGTAAGGGCAATGGATATGATGTGTATCCATTCTACGAAGTATTCACTTCTTCCCTCGATCCCCCCTCCCCCTGTCACCATGTTTGCTCGTAGACAGCAGTGATGCGACAGAAAGACTTGAGATCATTAGCATACCTTGTAAAACTTAACGACCAGCCTTAGCATGCTTCTAACTTTGGAACACCACTTGAGGACCGTCACAGCTCACTAATTCCCCCACTAATCCAGTCATGGGTCTCATTGTGCCTTGAGTAGGAGCACGGCTCATTGCCGGATCAGTGGGCCATGATGGATTTGGCTTCCAATTCTCTCGATCCAATTCAACAGTCAGCATTGACGTCCGCAAAATTTTTGACAAATCAAATTTATCTCCTTGAAAGCACAGCCAGCGAATTTTTATCAAAAGTGTACAACAGTATTAACTACCATATAACTACCCAAAAGCGTTTGAATGAATTAAGAGGCTATGGAAATCCTAAAGGATACATAATACACGAAAGAGGAAGAATGCTGTTCACATTCTCCACACGAGACATTGCCTCTCTATTTATTTTTTTGTTCATTATTATTTACTATCGGATTTTTATCATTGGTAGAGGATTTTGCATTGTCACCGACAGGATTTCAGCGGCTACATTAATACCAACGCTCCTTACCTTTTCGGATAGGTCAGTGAAATCCCCATGCTGGTGAAATCAGGAGCAAATCGGACTTGGAACCACTATCTTGAAAACTCAACGACACGGGATTTCCCTAGAAGGTCTTAGAGGGGGCAGAAGGAAGGGAGTAGAAGGGCTCTGAATGGATCAGCAACGAGGGCGTCACCGTGAGTAAGGTGTACGAGGAAATAAGTCTAAGTTCTGTTACAGCGATGGTTGATCCAAGGCAGGCACGGATCTAAGCCCCGGTTTGAGCCTTCGATGAAGTTAAGGCTGCATGCTCCACTGATAGTAATTCTCAAGCATCCCAAGCATTTCCAAAAAGAGAGCTGTGTTATCAGCGAATCAACGCCCTTCCAAGCAAGAACGTCTAGAGCATACTTAATACATGACTTAGTTGTAAGCTAAATCAGTTACCAAAGAGTAGTGGTAAAGCAAGTGAAAGCAGGGTCTTTGGCCTGAAAACGAGAGACCAAAGGTTTTTCTTCCCTCATATGTTTTGGGTGATTGGGTTGCACCCAATCTGCGCGAAAACACTGGCAAACGGTCTAATTTAATCTGCCTCTGTTTGTTTAGCCAATGATCCCCTTTCTAGCTTCGTGAATATGTTTGAGCTGTCCACTGCGCTAAAGATGCTCAGCTGTTGGACTCAAACTGTTTACGACAAACGTTTCATTCGTAAACAACGGCAACGACTTGCTATTTCCATATAGAAGATCTGCCATCCATCGTAAAGGGCAAACTTAGAAAGCAATGTGGCTGAACAATGCAGATAAACAATTATAAGGGGCTTGTTTTCGCCAACGAAAGATAAGGAAGCTCCACGATAAGCGGAGAATCCGAAAATGGGAGAAATCGAGCCTCGAGGAGAGCTTGTCAGAGGCAGTGCACATGAATGTGAAGTTAGTCAGAATGACAGGTCCGTCATCCGTTCCTCAAACATTTCGATCGCCGCTGAGACTCATAATTTGTGTTTGGTCATAAATTTTCGCCAGACAAGAGGAAAGCGAAATAACAGGCAATCAACTGCAAAGCATGGGCCATCATGGATTGGATTGGCAGTCTCCCGCATTTTAGAACCACAAGCGAGTTCTACAACCCACTTCCACTGGAGCCCCTCCCGTAATGATGCATGCTCCATGAGAAGTTCGTTCGTCGCGTGCCTATGAATACCAGAAAACAAACTAAAAGGAGCCATTTGATGGCAAAAAATCTTTGCCGAAAGGATTGTCGGGATGAATCAGAAAAAGCCGCCATAACACAGGTCATATAGGACCATGGTTGTCCCTAGATGAGGCTCGGCCCAGCTGAGTAGTAGTATATGATGGTTTATATGGTACAGAAGTAAGTTAGCAGCACTTCTAGACTAAGGTTTCGGCAACTTAGCCTTTTGTGGATATTGAAAATAGCGAAAAATAGCTCTAGACTAACGGACTAAGTATTTCGCGACCCAGTCGACCTTCTATAGTGCCTAACCCAACGGAAGCTACTCCTGGCAAGGAATTGACTTGCGGGATAAACGGAGGGAATCGATCCCAGGACGGTATAGCTATGGGAAAAGTGCTGAAAATTGTGTAGCTGTAGGTGTAGTTGTATGTGTAGCTAAATTTGGAAAATGTTGCCATCTGTTGCAAGTCCCTTTTTTATCTCCGCCTTTTTCTAAGGGTCAACTTGGTACCGGGCTTGATGGTAGGTAAACGCAAGGAATATCTTACGGAATCGATGTGTCGGTCGGGTGAGAGTGGTGCAATCTCTACTTTCTCTATAACGCCGTGAAAACTCCTCCTATCTGGGAGTCGGTGACACCTGTAAACTTCAGAGTGAAGTCCGGAACCTTTTTCTAGAGGATTGAAGGTCGGTCTCAAAAGGTATAGCATTTCTATCCTTTAAAATCCCTTCTGCCTACAGTAAGACACGGACAAGAGCATGTTGTACCTCGAGAGTGTAACCATGGAAGTTTTTTT